GTTGAAAGTGTACGTATATATAGAGAGGGGCCGAGTCGGCGGTCGTAGTTTGTCATGGCCACCTGTCTTGCAGTATTGTTGCTTCTTTTGCACCATGGTCTGTCGCTTCCACAGGTATGATAGCCAGCACTGTGTAGTCTTACGCAGATAATTAAATAAGGAGTATTCTTGAGGATAAAGGGCGGCCGGCGCGTAGAGTTGACAACCTTTGCCGCCATCTATGAGCGGACTGTCTAGAAAATGTGTGAACCTCAACATCTCACAATCCTATTGGCCTCCATGGCCTGTTACATGGATACCTTTATTTTACTTTTAAGTGATAGTCGTGTAGACCGTGTAGACCATAATGGATCAGAAATGTCGATTTCTGTGCCAATGAACGCTGTCAGTGTAAAATGTTACCAAAATCTGAAGAGTGCTATCTTCAGGGTTAAAGCTTCTTGTAATCCGGTCAGAGTCAGTTAACATTTCGGAGGAACATATCGCCTCCATCTCCAGGGTCGACCAAGAAAGTATAGACTATATGTTCCTCCTTAAGGTCCGTTGATTTTCGCCGAATCACACAGCGTTGTATCCAAGTAGTTAAAACACTTCATAGTCACCACCGCGAGAACCGAAGATTACAACAACATCTGTTTGCAGAGTGTGCCGAAGGACAGCCAGTATTTGTTTAGTGGTGTGATACATTTATAGAACCCCCCCCCCGCAAGAAAAAGGAATTAAATCCGAAAGAAGTATCCAAAACAGTATGATGAATTATGCTTCATTTTGAAAGTTCAGAGGAGATGAAAATCATAACGCACATTCCATCAGTAGTCTGGTGGTTTAGAGAGATAGTGTAGCAGACTGGCGGAGCGTATATTTTTTAAAGTGTTGGCCAAAATCGCGAGGCAGAGGGAGGCCATGAAGATTCTGGCAATTGGGTGCATACATCATACAATACAACCATGCAAATTTGTGCTAAAAAGTAACTAAGTTAAAGATAAAAGGGAAAGTAAATGTAAGTGAAAAATCGTTACCGACTACTGAGCTTGTCCTTTTATTGGTGTTGTTCATAACTCCCTCTCATTAGTCTGTGTGTCGTATGTGGGCAGGCAGTGGGCAGTGCTAGGCAGTGGCTTTGTAAACATATTCCCACAGCAATGAAGAATTGTTTGAGGCGTCGTTTTCTATGCGGTCCATTTCGTGTCAAAGGAAAATAGGCTATTCTTCGCAGAACTTCTTGTTTTTATTTTATAATTACAATAGACGACTGCCATGATAGTCCATTAAGCAGGCCTCTTGCCATTTGACAATAATGGATGTAACAATAATACAGAGATTTTTTTAACTTTGTTGACCGGTTCACCGCTCTGCGCTTCACGGCGACCGGAGCGCTGCTTGCCGCGAGGCGCATACGAATTTTGCCAATGATTCAGCATGCCTGATGACCGAACAACTTTTGGAACTAAGGGAAGTAATTAATCTATGGACCGCTTGAGGGCATTATGTTTCACGGCCAGCAGTGCGGTTCTTGCGTGGAAGTGTCTTTATGATATGTCAGCAGTAGGCAGCAGTTACCAGCTCCATTAGCCATTTGTTCTCAATTAAAATTAGTGAGTAGCGTGTTCCGTCATGGTGCGTATACTTTACAGCAACGTGTATTTCTGTATGACACCTATGTGAAATACAAATATGATAGAATGTGTAAGATTTTATTTTTTCACGGCGGTGACTGTGAAGAAAGCAGTCTTCTGGGATGTGGCACCATGTAGATGTGGTGTTAACCGACGTTTCGGAGGAACGTATCGCCTCTATCTTCAGGGTAGAAGGAAAAATAAGAAAATCCGCAAGCGAAGAGACCGTGAGAACCGGTACAAGCAGACTGGTGTTGGTGTTGTCTCAGCAAGTCATGGAAGCCTCTGATCTGTTCCCTAAAAAACCCCCCCCCGGGACATGATGCCAGATTCACAAGGCTACACAGGCCATGACCCATTAACATAGCAACACCCCAGCTTAAGGGTTAGTGCCCTCCCTTTAACCTTGCCTTTCTCTCCCACTGACACAATATCATATACAAAACCCTGCTTCTGTCCCAGCCCCTTCNAAAATTTGATGTAAATTTCATGATGAAAGAGTTTCCACCAGACAAACAGTTCACAATTTGATGAACAACCTTAGAAAAATGGGACTCTTAATAAACAAGAAAAAGAAAAAAACATCAGCACTGAATGTTTACTGAGGAGAAGTGAGATGATGTAAATGCAAGATTGAAACACACAGAGAAATACTCACTGATACATCTAGCTCAAGAGACTGTTATGTCAAAGTCTAATGCAAGAATGGAAACAAAATTGCTTAAGCTTAGACCCTATAAAACTACAGCAATCCATGCAGCTGTGCAATCCAGTTAGCAGGGTTCATTTTTTGTAGTTGGTTTCTACAGTCTGTCATCGAAAGGGAGATCAATCCACAATTGACATTCTTTTCTGATGAAACATGGTTTCACTTGCAGGGATACATAAATAAGTGAAATAATCGCTACTGGAGTTCACAGAATCCATATCTAATCCATGAAGTTCCACTCCATCCAATGAAAGTTGGTGCCTTGTATGTTGTAAGTGCTAGAAGGATTGTTGTAAATGTTTTTTTTTTAACGAAACAAATACGAAAGATATCTACGTGTAGAGGTACAGCATTTTCAACACCTACTGTGATCTAGAAATTGTAATTACTTCATTCCAAACGTTATCGGTCATCAGGCATGCTGATTCTTAAAGAAATTTGTATGCGCCTTGTAGTCAGTGGTGCAGAGCAGTGGAACTGGCCAACAAAGTAAAAATCCTCCCTGTACTTATACGTAACATCTAGTGAAAGCTGTGGAACCGGTCAATGAAGTAAAAATCCTCCCTGTACTTGTACCTAACATCTATTGAAATAAAAATTTATTACAGACATTTCATTCATGCTGCTCTTCCAGCAGTCATATGGCCAGATCATTAGATTACACTAATTGAAATTCTGGGTTTGCTTCTTAGCTAGAGTGACAGATTTGTATAAAGCTGAAAATAGTGTAAGCATATGAGTTTTGAAGCTTTTATGATAAGTAAATGCAGTGAAGTCTTCTAGGGCAGTTAACTGTCAATCTTGACAGTGAAAATTATGCATCTAATTGTGTATTACTGATAGTATATACAGCCAGCTGTAGGATATCAATAGAACAAAGAAAGAAAGTTAATTAGAAACATAGTTAAATTTCCATTTTTGTATAAATTTCACAGAGATTTTCCAAATGTCTTATATATACAGAATATCTCATTTCACTGTCTTGATCTGCTGCCTGAAGTATATTTATTTATATTTGTATCTGTTTAATATTTTATTGGCCCTGATAGAGTGAAACACTATTATTTTATTATTAATTCTTCTTATTACAGGAAAGAAAGATGAAGTAACAAGGAAATTATGTTATGTAAGGGGAACTTATAAAACTCCTCACCTAATACTGTCAGAGTAGTCAAAAATAAAATGAGGATGGGTTGGACATATACCTTTCAATAGGGAAATAAGAAGTTCATATAGAACTTTATTAGAAAAATGTCTTGGAAAATTGATTCTTGAAAGTTTGAGAAGCAGATTGGGAAATTACAACTGGGTGTTGGCAAAATACTCATAATTTGTGAAGTTGTGACTGTTTTGAAGGAACTCACAATCAAATTTAGTAGTGTGGATTGACATAGTAGCACGATCTTCAGATTCTATTATCAGAGAGAGAGAGAGAGAGAGAGAGAGTAAAAATTGTGTTGTATTTTAGTATCCTGTTGCACTGATTCATATCCATAATGTGTATATATTAACCGTCTTCTAGTGCATACAATTTCACTTGTCACTTCACACTACATGTTTCGGCATCATTCTGCCATCCTCAGGTGTATTAAACACGTTAAACCATTGCACTGCCTGCCATCAAGTGTCCATTTATAAAATGATATAAAATGTGTGTTCATCGTTGTTCAATAATAAAATTTATATATTAAAACTTGTTAAGATCTATCATCTTACATGTCGTATATCAAACTCATGTGTAATGCCATTCATCCGTTATGGGAGTCGTTCTTCTTATGTTTAATTGTATATATACTGTGTCTTATGTGGCTGCATGCGTTGTATTGCTGGATGTATGTGTGTGTGAGTAAAAATTGTATCTTCTGTACATTTAAATAAAACTTCTAGCAGCCCTAGTTTAATGTAATGTACAAAAACAGCATATGACCCTTCATCAGATACCAAGCAAATGCATATGAAAATGAAAATCTCTTCAGTGTATTTTAATAGTATAGTAATAGTATAGTGTAGTATTTCTGAAATCAGTTCATTGCAGTCTGCTTCGATCTTTTTGCAACAAAACTATGAGGTAAGGTTAATTTTGTCTTTTCATGTGTATGACTATGCATTGTAGCATGTTGGCTTGCGTGCTTTTGATTTCTGTTATTGACTAAGTTGCACCTGAAGTTGTCAACTATTTTTATGCTTATTTTATATTATATGACTAATCTACTGTTTTTGATTGTTTTAATAAGTGAATTTTGTATGATAAGTGTCTCTTTTATATGCATTTTAATTTGACGCACTTGATTAATGGAATGAGTAATGAATGAACGTCTTAATGGAAATTTTATTTTATTTTAGTCCATGATAAATCTTGATAAATTTCTTGATCATTGTTTAATGTGTATTATAAGTATTATAAGTTTACCTCATTTAATTGCAATATTACTGTATTATTGTATAGATACTATGTATTCTAACTTGACTTGTTCCATATCCTATGGTGTCTCACCTGTACTGGATTTACAGAAGGTAAAAAAATTCAATTCAATTAAATTCAATTCTCTCACTTCAGAGTGAAGACTGTAATATAAGTATGTTGAACAAATGTCAAATGAACAAATTATGAACACAAAGATTTTAATATTTATTTACGTTGGACATATAGACTTAATGAGTTTGTTTCATACTAGTTGTCACCCCTGTTATATGCAGAAGAAGATGTTGAGGTGGTGTATCTCAAGAGGATGGTATTTACTGCTGCCAGCTCCAATGAAGAACCCCTGTCCTCAGATTATTATGATGATGATGACTCACAATTACATTACAAGTTCACAGCATTTGGCAGGTGCAAGTAACATATAAATGAACTATTCTCTTGATATAAACAAGATATCTTGCTTAGAAGCACAGACACTTCTGTTGTTAATTTGTTTGGTTTTCAAGAAAACCAATAAAAGAAGTGTAGGCTACTGATTCTGAATTGTTTATAGCTTTAAACAGAAATAATATGTTGTCATTGAAATGTGCTGACTAAAGAAGATTTACTAATGAAATCCACCATGTGAAGCGTTAAGCTCTTACAGCTACAAATATAAAATTCATATCATAACATCATACCACTTTCTTAACTGAAATACATGTACTGCAGTTCATTTTGACTGACTAACTGGTTGACTAGTTTACTCACTGAGTGCTTGATTGACTCTCTGATATTTGAACTGTGAAGCTCAACATTTTTAATACAGATTCCATCATTTTACTTGAGCAAATTAAATATGATCCACATTACCAAACCGTGGATTTATAATATTGCTTTTAATATTATCTTTCTAGTTTCATTTCACTTGGTTTTCAAGAGATAAATAATGTAAGGAAATATATCCTTTTGCCTGAAGGCAGATGGGGAATGTGTTGGCGTATATATTTTCAAATATTTTTCTCTCTGGAAACAGCTTCTTCTTGATTAATCATTGATTCAAATATTAGTTTTTTATGTGTGACTGTTGTGTAACAGCTGATGCATGAAACTGATCATCAACCTCCATTTAGTTCCAAGGTTAACTGTATATGGAGATATACCTCCATTCCCCCATACATCTAATTGACAGAGTACTGCATTAAGCACAGGGACTTCACATTTACTTGTACCATATATGGTTACTATGCAATCTACTATAAAATTCAGTGTAATTCTTTTTGTGCCCTTTAGGGTGCTTTGCTTTTATTATCTATGACCAATTTCATTTCATTGCATCAAGCCAAATGAACTGTATTGCAGGTCAGTATCCCTAAGGTTACGGCCCAACAAGAATCTAGTTGCACCCAACTTCAAAATTTACAAACATATGGATGTCAACAGAATGGAGCCACTACTGCTTCCTGCCAAAAATTGTCATTACTTGCAGCATAAGGAGGGAATCGTGGCTGCCCTCAGTGACTGCCGCCACCCTAACTCTCTGGTCAGTTTTATTTCAGTGTGATAGAACATGAGAGCTATGCTCAATAGGACTTTTTTTTTTGTGATTTATTATATTACATACTTGGAGATTCTAAGATAACTAATGATGATGCTGATAAGACACGATGGCCCATTACATACTGTCATCACAAAGAGACCCCATTCATTACCACCTCATTACAATAAACATAAGTTCTACAGCAAAATTATGCACTTGTACGAGTACATTTGGGAATGATACTTACTGTCTTAAGGAACTGGAAATAATGCCTTATAATGAAGCACCCCAGAACTAAATAGACTGCATGTACCCATGTCTCACTCATTTTGAGGCCTGATTCTCGTATAACTTTTGTTATTTACATTTCATTGTCTTTCAGAGCATTCTGCAGTTCTATACAATTAACACTGTATATACTTACTGGTTTTAGGCTTCCTTTATGGCTAATTATTGATGTTAAGTCAGTTCCTGTGTGTTCACACTATGTGGATAGTGTTTCTGATGTTCTGGAGATACATGCTGCCTCCATCATCAGGGTCATTAGTGTGTAGGGTTTGTTTGTTTCTGTGTGCACATAAGTTTATGTTTCAGAGGAATTGTATAGGGGCAGTAGAGGCTGATGATTGTATAGATCAGTGAAGACTAAGATGGATGGAGCATGAAACACTAAAAAGTCAGCAGTACTGCCACCATCACACAATGTAAATACCCAAGAACTGAATTAATGTCAAAATATATACTACATTTCTGCAGCATGGATTTGTGCTCTTGGACAACTCCACTCTAGAGATACAACCCATTGTGACCGAGGCACTTACCAGTACAGAGAGTGGTGCACTACACATAGTGAGGAGGGTACCAGTCCCCCACGCTGGTGCAGGTAATGTTTATGAAGTCATATCCACACACCATGTAAGCAAATATAGACAGTTCACACTATAGGGTGGAACTGAGAATGTGAATAAACATTCCTGTTCTCTCTTTCTTCTGTATGCCTTCATCTTCTTCTTCTCCATCTGTTCCTCCTCCTTCCTCTTCTTCTTTCTTCTCTTTCTTCTTAAATATGTCAGCCTTATTAGATATGTATCACATGGCTCTTTTATCATTTCTTTTGTATCTTGTTTCCTTAGTGGGTGATTTGCTTGTAGAAGTTACCAAAAGCTTTTGAAACATGCATATTTAAAATTAATTTGTATTTGTTGGCATAAAATACACTTCATAAGTGCCTGATTATGACATAATTATATGGTCAAAACATGTAGCACAGTTATGTTTACATTAAACATGCAAGACATATACCAACATCTATTGTCTTTATTGAAGATATCCCCATATTGTTTGTTGTGTCAGTTGTTGTAACGTAAGTAATTAAATGAAGTACAGTATTTATATGCCCAGGTGTCTAAAGACTTTTGTAGCCCTAATGTAAACATTTTTTTGCTGAAATGATGTGGTTCTGTTCACAGTGCCTGAGCTGTTGCTGCCAGACTCACTTGACAACTTGAAAATGATTGAGGTTGGTCAATCATCATGAGAGTTATTTTTAAAGAATTCTTGGATAATACAGGGCTGGATCATTTGAGTACTATGCTACTTACCTGTCAGAATCATAGACTGTTAAGAAGGTAGTTGAAGCCAGGCAATTATGCTTTAGCCTCAGAGACTGCACAGTCATTATATGAGATTGAAGTCCATCTACTCTACGATCCAGGGTACATCATACCTTATGTAGGCAAACATGTGGAAGAAAAGCCTTCGTAATTTCGTTCTAATTTTGCACCAAGTAGAGGGGGCACACGGTAGCGTAATTGGTTGAGGCACTATACTACAAGCCGGAAGGTCATGGGATCGAATTCTGATGAGGTCATTGGATTTTTTCAACTGACCTAGTCCTTCCAGCCTCACTATGGCCCTTGGGTTGACTCAGCCTCTAATGGAAATGAGTACCAGGAATGTTTTTGGAATGTTCTTGGGGTTAAAGGGCGGCTGGCGTGTAAGGCTGAGAACCTTACCACCATCTATGAGCTGATTGTCTAGAAAATGTGGGAACCTCAACATCTCACAACCCTATGGGCCTCCACGGCCTGTTACAGGGAGACCTTTACTTTTAGTTGAATGAATAATGGAAACATGTTGAAAATTTATTCTAGTAACTTTATAATGAACCTGAAATGGTATACATCAATAACTAACGATGATGACCCTTGTTCTCATAGTAGATGGAGTATAGCAGAATATCTGGTGATAACTGATCTCTATGGTACATTTCTGTTTCTAAGCCATGAAATCTACCTGCAAAGTTTGCACTGCAGCAGATGCTGTTGTAGTGTATAGAGTGGGCTGGTTTCAAATCTTGCTATTCAGTATTTTGAATAAAAGATTTTGAAAAATATTAATTGTGTAATTTTGGTAGTATGGAATGTGCACATATTGGCTTAGAACAAGGATTCAAGTGCACTTCCGTGTTGCAATTTTAGGCTGAAACTGAGGACCGGTCAACCCGCACAACTAAGAGGACAACACTAGAGTTGGCACTTTTCTTTGATGCAGCTGGGTACCAACTATTTATGCCATATTTTGGTGGTGATGATGCCAAGCTACGAGACATGCTGTTGGCCTACATGAATGGGGTATGGTGTGTGGAGGACAGAAAGAACTTATCTTTGTCAGTACAAGAATTTACCTTATATTTATGTTCCGAGATTTTACCATCCCTTCTAAGTCATTACCACTGAAACAATCTTAAGTAAGGGCCTGCACCTTCATAGGTGCTAGAAATCCTTCAGAAAGTGTTATTTCCTTTGGGAAAGTCTGTGCTTTTGATGGGAAGCTTAAATGATACTGATGCCTGTATTCTGTATGCACTGCCATGGCATTAGGTAAAGTCTGCATCTTTCACCTTTGTCTTTTAAAATTTGAAATCAAGAAAGTGTGGGAAAGGACATTAGAATAAAGCACTAACATTATAACTTATGTTTATGATAGGTAAAACACTAGTCTTAATTGTTAAATTGCATGCTTATAAAAGAAATTGAAATTCTTGTGGTGGTGAATATTGAGATTATAGTCTTTGGGGATGTGACACCATGTATATTGGTTCTGGAGTAAACTACTGCCTCTGTCCTCTTCCCTGAAAATAAAGGCAGCGTTACTCTGAAACATTTGTACTTACATACTAAACTACATGGTGTCACATCCCATGAGAATGTAATGTAATGTAAGTTTCTGCCTTTTAAACTAAGAATACTGTATAAATATGTTTGGTCTTGATTTGATAGTGAGAATATATATTGGTTAATAAAGAAGACTAAGATAGCTTCAGTTATGGTACAAACAACTAAAATTTCTTAAACTGTAACTAGATAAGGCATCAAAACACGGGTTGAAGAGGCTTCTGTTCATTAAAGTCTGAACAAACTGATCATATTTCACATTACTTGCTTGAGACAGAAAATGTTCCATAGTAGAGCATGCTGTGATGGCGACTCGTATCTTAAAGTCTAGTTGCCAAAAAAAGAAACCTAACTTTATTAAAAACTTTGTGTTTGGCAAAAAATCATTACAACACTGGAACCTGGCATTCTCTCCTCTTATCATACTAGGCATTTTAGATTTTATACATTTTTAAGTACAGTAATATTGCCCTATTTAGGTTTGTTGCTGGTTCCAGTGATTCTCTTAATGGTGTTTTCCATGAATTACTGGTGGGACAACTTGTACTCAGGATGGTCTCGCCTGAGCAGCAATTCCTCTTCATTCATGTATGCATTTAAGTGATATTCAGAACAGTATATTTATACTGGTACCAAAAAATAGGATTCACTGATGGATGAATGAATCAGTAATTCATAATTGTAAATAAATTATATTTTTGAGAATGCAAATTATGTAGATGACAATTTAATCATATGATCACTACAGGTCCAGGCATTATACCATCATCCCAGTCTGGGTCAATCAATTGACTTGACCTTGGTACGACTGAACCTAATGTCTCATCAGCCCAGGGACCTGCCTCACCATGATGGGGAACGGGGAAAGTTGTTAGATTCCTTCTGTGACTACAGTGCACGCAACAATCCTGGCAGTGATTCAAATCCAGACCATTGGGACATGGGGCTGTATGTGTCTGGGTGAGTCACATAAATCTTATGTTCTGTCACTGCTTCAGCAAAAATACTGACTTCCAAGGGCACTCAGAGAACTGTTATGATATGTTACAGGCTAGACTTCTTTGCATACGAGAATGGACGGAAAAGTGGAGTGACCATGGGTGAGTATTTGCGCATATGAATCCCACTGTAAGAACGCTGTGCACCTCTGATTTTATGACATCTTGCAGGTCTCGCCACAGTAGGGGGCGTCTGTCAGGACAAGTATGCATGCGTGATTGCAGAGCTGGGCACAACCAATGTGTTTGGAAAACCTTACCCATCTGCAGGGTTCACATCTGTGTACATCCTGGCACATGAGATAGGACACAAGTGAGTGAATTTGTCTGTCAAGCTGCAAGGGTATATAATGTAACTTCAGAATTATTCAATGACAAGATTTAAGTGTAAAATTATGCCTCATGGAAGGAAGTCATTTTCTGTTAACTGACATCAGATTGATCTCATAAGTTACCATGTTGGAAAATCTTGGAGAAATGTTTACTTTCAAGGAAAGTTTGCTTTCATTTGAGACAGTTAGTTCCAGCCACTGTAGCTGACAGCCTAAGCTGCAGTGAGCGTTATAAACAGTGCTTCTGTGAAGTACTTCTATACTGTGTCATGTAGGCCCCAATGCTAGGCAACGACTGTGAAAGAAGCAGCTATACAATAACCGTTGTTAAGTAATGGCTTCGCAAACAAGCATGATTCCACGGCAACAATTGCACAGCAGTGATTAAATTGTGTTTTCTGTGTGGTCTGTGCCAAGATGTTATAAACAGGCCAGGTTGGGTGAGTTGAGCTGGTTGGTCAGTGACTGAATTAGTCAGTCAGTAAGTTAGAAAACTGCTGAGGTACATTCAGTGGGAGCTGTTGCTGTGAGAAGCTGGTAACTAAAGCCGGGGTTAGTTTGGGAAGCCAGGGGAAGGGAAATGTTCGCCGTTGGAAGCCACTACCAAGCGATGACTGGTGAAGACGTGATTGTGGACACTAGTGTGTGTGCATAATAATGAATTGTATAGTGTAGTCATGTGTTGTATCAAAGAGTTCAATAAATCCAATTATGAATCCAAAACCCCATCTATGTTTGCTAAAATCATGTGAAAATATATTATGGGTGTACCTGACTTGACAGGAGGGGCAGCTGACTCTTCCACCTATGTGAACACTCATAAAGATGCCGTGATTTATTCCAGTCTGGGGATGCATCATGACAGTAGTCAGAATAACTGCCCAAAGGATGGCTACATAATGTCCCCATCACGAGGCACCAATGGTGAGACAGTGTGGTCCACTTGTAGTGCTGATGTCATTAGGAAGCTGAGGTGGGCCATAAAATTTAACATATTCATGCAGCCTTAAATTTAAGTGACTAATACTAAGTTGGGCATGTTTCCTGTAAAAAAAGAAAAATTATATTATACATGAAAATACAAATTTTCAAGGAAACTGATGTGATTTGTTAGGAAATAATCTGAAACATACTGCAAAGGACAAGAATTAGATGAGCCTCCAAGTCATAAATGTTCGATCAAGATGTGTGAGATGCTGAATTCCATACATATAGTTGAATTGTTTCTGTGGAGACCAGGTTACAGAGCACTATGTTGATTATCGATTTCTTATGGAAAGCTGTTTTTTATTACTCTTAAAATTTTAGCATAAAAAGTGTTGGTAAATTGTCAGTCACTGGTTCAGTGATTTGTATTAGCTCTTTCCAAAGAGTAGTTCAGTGGGTTGAGGGATGGATTTGTGGACTAATAGGTATGATGATATGGCAAGGCAACAGAGCTAAACATTGCCACATGGTGATGATATTTGCTGCAGCTGGGCCACCTGTCTGAATGATGTCCCTACCAAGACTCAGCCAGAGATGGATCATGAAGCACGGTTTCAGGATGAACCTGGGCAGAGATGGGGAGCAAAGCGGCAGTGTGAGGTGCTGCTACGTGACAAGGATGCCACTCTGCTGAACCCAGACAAATTGCAGGTGGAGGAAGGAAAGCAACTGTATTTCATTGGTTTCAGATATAAGATGCTATACAGGTTTATCCATGACATAATGATATTTCTGTACGATATTCTGCAGTACTTTGGATGTGGCTATGTTTCTGCATTATGAGAGACATAATTACCATGAAATATTTTGGTTAAATGTCCATGTTGCTCTGATGAAATGATGGAGAGGGAGACGGCATCCTATTTCCCCCTGAACATGTATTAAAATAATAATCAGTCAGGTAGATTGCTTTTATTCCTGATGGAGGATACAGAGGAAACTCACAAGCATTACACTTTCTTCACATATTATTCTCCATTTATTTAATATATTTTTAATTTAATATCTACATATTTTCATCATTGCTGACTGCTTCTGAAGGCCAAGTGTCCACCATATGCATATATTTCTACATTATTTTTTCTTGCTTCACATGTTTTACCATGTTACAGTCACTTTCCTCCTTCTAATGTTAATAATATTATGAATGCTTGCTGACTTTGTAATTGGCCATTGGCTGTTGACTTCAGCAAGTAAATAAATAAAGAACTGAATTTAATTCGTGGGCCTCTCTCTTTCCACATTAAGTCTACACATCAACAGATACATATCAGAGACTGTTTTAAGAGCAGATTTTTGGGCAGTCAGGTACACTGTACTCTGCTGGATCACTGTTGATTGATTCCTGAGGTTCTGAATTTCTTTCTCAATAGACAGAGATGTTTCTATCAAGTTTCATAGAGGTTGTGTGACCAAATTGTGTGCTCTATATAGGATACTTAAAAGGATGAGTGAACTGCATACAACTAAGTTGCATGTGTTTCCAGACACTTAATTTGAATTTAAGATTTGAGCTTTTCATGGTTGTGCTGTTCTTGGTTATGACATCATGGGGTATGAGAGGTGGTTAACAATCTTTTTTGAGGAACTTGTGGCCTCAAGCTTCTACTCTGTAGATGGTGACAGTATGCTTCTCTGAGATGTTGGTAATGCCCTATGACTAGTGTCATGGTGCAGAAGATGACAATTCACAATGAGTTCTGTTCAGACACTTTGTACAGACAAGTGAGATTTTCTTTGGCTTAGAGGATTTGCACCAAAGTTCACTCCTTTCCGTTAATGGATTTAGTGTTGTTTCATGCTGAATATCTGATCATACTGATCTTGCTGGCAGTGAAGCAGCTGTGAGACTTGCTACTGTTTGTGGTATTTTATATTTTGAACACATTTTATACCACAGTTTTCTAATTATTTTGCACCAAATCATATTTCCATATTTTGTTGTCTCAAATAAAATGCCGAAAGTTTGTGATCTCCTTATGGTGTGAGAGATGAAGTCCTAAGGACACAATATCTCATGAATCCAGTCATCTTGCTAGTGGCTGCTTGATCACAGGATCACCACCTTTATCTTTATATATCTTGCAATATTTGCAATTGTTTCTAACTGCCACCAATACTAGATGCAGAGACAGATACTTACCAGATACTTTTAAGATTATTCTGGAGGTCCACACATTTTTATTATAGTCTTCATTTTTCCTTCTTAACATTTACATGATTACTCCTTTTAGGTGTCAGGAACTAGCCCTTTTACAGTATCCTTAGGTGCACAAGGGGGCATACAGTAGTGCAGTTGGTTGAGGAACCATGCAACAAGCCAGAAGGTTGCAGGTTTGATTCCCGATGAGGTCCTTGATTTTTTTCAATTAACCTAAACCTTCCAGCCACACTATGGCTCTGGGGTTAACTCAGCCTCTAACAGAAATGATTACAAGGAATCTTCCTGGTGGTAAAGGGCAGCCAGTGCGTAAGTTTAACAACCTCACTGCCATCTGTGAGATGATTGTCTATAATGTGTGGGAGCCTCAATATATCACAACCCTATGGGCCTTCATGGCTTTTACAGGGATAGCTTTTCTTTTACCTTTAGGTTCAGAAGTAAGATTCCACTTTACTTTTTGATTTAGAATTGGGATTTAAAAAATATAATTTTAATACTTGGACTTCCTAATACACACCCATTTTTTAAAAGGAATCTGAGTTTTTAAGGGGATTTCATAGCTACGACTTCTGTATTTTCAATTTGTCGTTGTTTTTATCTCATTCCTCTTTTAGTCTGCATGTAATAATTTTGCCTTAACAGAGTCTAAAGGAGCAAAATAGGTCTCAGTACATCACAGTAACAATAAAAACTGCTGGTCACAAATATAGTAGAACACCAATTATCCGAATTAATTACTGACAAAGCTGGTTTGGATAATCGAAAATTCCTATAATTCAATTAAATTCTTATTCACGAAAAATGACCAGTACAATATAACACTATTAAAATGTGCTGTACTATTATAATAAAAAGGTAAAGTTGTCCGTGTGCCTAACTAATTAAGCACTACGTCATGAAGGCATGTGGGGGAGTGGATGTATGGATCCAAGTTTTCTTGACCTCGTCACTAGTTGGAGGTAATCGGTCAGCTTCACGACCTGGCTGCTTTACCCCCGGGGAAAGAGTCTCTGGTACCCATTGGATAGGAGACTTGGTAAAAAAAGTAAAAACTTTGATACAGATGAAGCATGAAAAATTAGTAAATGTAACTATGAATTAACATTTTCAGACAATTTATTTCAGCAGTGGTGTTTGACAGATGCACTCCTTACTTGAGTTGATTTGGTTAACCGGCAATTTGGATAATTGGCACTCTACTGTTTGTCAAATATATAAATATACAGAATTTATTAAAATATAACTTGATTCATGAGATTGAACTTGGGTAAAGCTTGCTACCATTCAGTCCAGAACCTTTTGTCTTCTTGTCTGCTGTCCAAAAACATAAAAATTAGAATATACAAAACTATAATTTTGCCTATGGTTCTGTATGGGTGTGAAACTTGGTCTCTGACATTAAGGGAGGAACATAGACTGAGGGTGAAGAAAGTCGTCTTCTGGGATCTGGCGCAGTGTATTCTTTGTTTCAGCCGACGTTTAGGAGGAACGTATCTCCTCCATCTTTGGGGCAGGTGAATTGCGTTGCGAACGCAACAGGTTATTGTTTGAGCATGAACGCTATGGGGTATCATGTAATATGATTTAAAATGATAGTCATGCCAGTGTCAGATAATTCTGATATCAGCTCTCACTGCATCATATCCATTTTAATGAGATCTTTTGGAATCAAGATATGCTGTACAGAAAGGATTAATTTCATCAGGCCTGTTAGGTTGTTGTGGTTTCAGAGGATCCTCTATCATTCTCTTGCTTGCAGTATGACAGTAGTTTATCCAGGAATTCAGCGTAGTATTCAGGCATTCTTGACTGGTATTCCTCAGTCCCTTCATGTGAATGCATAGTTAGTGATGACCAATATTTTTTCTGTTTCTTATCATAATATCATCATATAATTTCGGTTTGTGCTACATAACTTCATCAGTTGATGTAATATATTAGAGTTACTCAATGAAGAAAGAGAAGTAGAACAGATTCTACTTTCAGGTGGCATCTTTCATCATTTCAATCACAAATACAAAATGGAAGACTATTAATAGGACTTTTTTTAAAAATTCTTAAATTTAAACTGACTGTTGAGCAGACACAAGTTTAGCATTATTATTGTCTTCTGCAGGAAATCTGCCAAAATCTCAAGTGCAACACACCACATCGATCAGGCTTCTACTTTGCAGGACCTGCACTAGAGGGCACTACATGTGGCAAAAATAAAGTAAGTGTTGGCAATTGAAATGACTGCTGGTACTGTGGCACTGCAGTGTGATACTGAGCTATGTGTGCACATTACAGTGGTGCCAAGGTGGAGAATGTATGCCAGTGAAGAAGAAGAAACCTCCAGTGAAGGTGGTACCAGGTGGCTGGAGTGAGTGGAAATTGGGCTCCTGCTCTTCAGGGTGCATCACTAAGTCACGAAGTAAATACCTTCACCTTCATTTTATCTTCCTACTCAATAGCTTAAATCTAGTACAGTTTCATGATGGTGTGTTGGAAGTACATCTGGGGGGGGATTAATATACTGGGACCCAAACAAAGACTGAAGGGTTAACAGTGTTAGATTTATATAGTCATGGAAGTTGACCAGTGTACTAACTTGAAGAGTGGAATTCAGTGAATTTTCAGAACTGAATAGACATTTATAATTCATAACCATATACAAGGTGGTTCAAATATGACCGGGACTGATTTCTTTTAAAACCATAATTGCCAAACACTTAATTGCACATGTCAGTCTTCAACGTACTCCCCTCCAAAGTCAACACATTTTCTCCAACATTCTGGAAGCATCCTGATGCCCTTTTCAAAAATGACTTCTGGTTGGTGGTGTATCCACTCCCAAAGAGTCTGGATAATGGCATCATTGTCCACAAACCGCATGCCTTGCAAGTCTGATTTGAGCCTTCCGAACAGGTAGAAATCACTTCAGGCCAAATCGGGACTGTATGGCGGATGTGTCAGAAGGTTCCATTTCAATTTCCGGAGGGTTTCCATTGTTGTTTTGGCCGTATGGGGGCATGCATGGTCTTGAAGGAAGGCTACCTGCTTTCCACCTGTCTTCCGCTTGGATCGGAAATTTTCCTTCATGTCTGTTGCCAGGAGCTCTGAGTAATAAGCTGCATTGACTGTTCTGGCATTTGTCAGAAAGTCTACATGGGTAACCCCCTGCCAGTCCCAGAAGAACATTGCCATCACTTTTCCTGCCGAATGGCTCCTCTGCACTCTCTTGGGTTTGGGAGAACTGGTATGCCACCACTCGTGTGATGACTGCTGGGACTCGGGAATGAAGTAGTGCACCCACGTTTCATCGGTGGTACTATAGACTTCAAAAATTCATCACCTTCATTTTCAAACTGCTGTAGGAGATGATGCAGCTTGCATGTGCACCATTTTGTTCATGTACATCAAAGTGTGTGGTACCCATCGTGCATTCACTTTGCGATAGTGCAAGTGGTATTTCACGATATCTTGACGATACCAACACTGATGGACAGCATTGCTCCAAGTTCCTTGGTAGTGATGCGCCTATTCTCACGAATAAGCATGTCTGCACGATCAATGTTTGGCTCGGTGACGGATGTTCACGGCCGACGATCATGCAGTTCATTCTCCATGCACTCTCTGCCCTCTCTGAAGCACTTACACCACTCAAACACACGGGTCCATGAGAGACACTCTTCCCCATATTGTTGTTGGAGTCTGTGGTGAATTTCAGTGTACAGGACGTTTTCTCCAATGAGGAATTTGATTACAATGCGTTGTTCCACGTTCTGCAGTGCCTTCTGTTCGCTCATCACTCTAGCAACTCCCAGACAGGACTGAACAGGTTCTAACCTGAACAGGAGGGAGCGTGGAGGTTGTGGCTTCACTCTCTCAAGGTCGCACAGCTGCTGCGCAGTGCAGCTTGTTTACACACAAATCAGTCCTGGTTATATTTGAACCACCTGGTACATATTCTGTGCTGGTGTGCAAAAGCAGCCACAGCATAACCAGTTAATGATGCTATCAGTCATGTTCCTGTACATCAATTGTAGTGAAGAAACATGCAAAACATTAGAGAGAAAGATCATTGAAGTATTAATAAGCTGTAACTGACATTACTTCTTTTAGTTTATTTTGGATTTCACCCATCGTCTGGTATGTGAAAGACAAAAAAACCACGACGTTTCGGAGACTGGATCTGTCTCCGTCTTCAGGTGGATAGGGAAGGATAAACCTACTTAGTTGGGCCCCTTAGAAAGAGCTAGTCTCAATCACTCAATCAAGAGACTAGCATTTAAACTCTGCTAGTGGAAGTGTGTGCACACGCCGCTAGTAGAAGCGAATGCACAGTCCTAAATATTTAGTTTTTAGTGTAGTAATTACCAGACAGACTTGAGTAAAGCCCTAATAGAGGAATTAAGTGAACAACAGCAATAAAGAATATACGTATGAGTTATGCCCAAACTCATCCATGAACCAGTACTTTTATTGCAGATTCTGCAGATTAATGTGTTAAAAATCTATATAAATAAAAATCGATGTACATATCTTTTTCGTTGTTACCTGCTTGATGTACATATAGGCTGAAATGAAACTACAGTATTCGATTTCACTACGAACGGACAGAAAACAGATTGCACTCTGTAACTCAGCCACGATGCAACTGTCTGTTCATGACCCTAGAAAGGGCAATAATCTCTTGCAGCTATGACAGAAGGTTTTAGCACTGAAAAAGGGAACCCTCTAGCTTTCTCTTGAATAGCCATTCTTTCATTCTTCTGCCCTTCAGTCAAAAGATTCGAAAATCCGAAGAGTGTAAGCAGTGCTAGCAGAAGACCAAATGATTTTATTGCTTCCATCTGTTTTATGACATCAGGGACTGCTAAAATTTGTCAAGTGTTACAAACAGAAATCAAATTATAATGCAGACCAACTCTGTGAAGAACTGGGAAACCATTTTTGCAGTAAGCATCAAAATTAAAAAACAAAAACTTGAAAATAGAGTATAACACTTTGTATAAAAAATTTCAAATCTTCCATTATAATCTGTGACCCTATGTTCTTTGCTGATACAAACAACGTTAATTCCATCCATTTATCATAAAAATTGTGTTAGATACAGCATTTTTAAATACAATGCTTAAAATTGTTTAAGCGCACTAACAGGAACGGACATTTAAACGCAGAGTAGCAATGGGCACTTAAACGCGCACCAGCAGCGGGAAATTAAATAAACTGCGGCCGGCTCAAGCTTATCACTATTTCAGAAGTCTGGTGTTTAAAGGTTAAGTAACTTTGTTTTTTGAACGAGATGAAAACTAAGAATGCTCGAAATATGTAGTGAAAGTGTTCACCACTACATCATAATACTTGTATATGGTGGTTCACATAAGTATTTTGCCAAAACATGACAGATGTATAATTTCTTCACTTCATGGCACTGCGTGGATTCTACAACCACGTATAATATGTATTTAATTACTGCATCAGTTTATAATTTGTCATACATTAATACTATACATTTGATACAAGCAGACTGCAGCAACAAATATGTTAATCCACAGGCTTCCAGCAGAGGCATCGCACCTGTGATAATCCAAAGCCAGTTAACACAGAAGAAGGCTGTGAGGGTTCTAGTTTTGATGTGGTGCTCTGCAAGGTTGATAAGGTATGCAATTTAGTATTGTCACTCACAAATTAATAAGCGTGAAATGAAGTTCTCATGTATAATTATGCACTTTACAGATTTGCAAGAAGCAGATTTCTGTTGTTGATTTTGCTGGCCAATCCTGTGCCAACTTCAGCAAGCTACTTCCAGAATTGGACCCAAAGGGCTCTGGACTGCAGGCCCCACATGAGAATTGTAAGTCACAGCATAATAAGATCTTGAATGAAACAATGGAATTGCAAAACATTAGGCACCATGGTTTTACGTATGACCTGGAGAACTCCAGCTTCCCCGGTTTTTTCATTCTTTTCAGAACCCTAATTTTTCATTATCCCTGCTACAAATCACAGGCCTTCCTAATAATCTCACATTTATTTTTATTTACTTGTTAGGTCATTTTTTGCTTATCATCTCATTTATCTCTGAAGCGGTGGTAATACAACCTGTTTTTCCATCAAATGATAATAGTGTAATTCCATTCCCTCCGGAATAGAAGAAATGCTACTACTGTTTTAGGTTAGTTTCATTTATTTAACCTTGCATTTGTTAAGCAGTTGACAATGGGTAGCAATTCAGGCAACAATTATTTAATCAATTATGATTCACTGACAAGTGGCAGTCGCTCGGTAGGTATAGTTCACTTGCGGACTAAAGCCACGGAGTTGTTTTCTTATATTCTATCTGTGCACGTTGAATCAGTAGCATTATGAAGTGACATTTAATTTTCAGACAGACAAATGAAAGTATCTTCTTTGTTTGTAAATAGATCTTTCATTTAAAGTGCTTGTACAGTTTGTGGCCATGTGTTTAAAATTAGCAGTGCCAAGAAAGTTGGTCATCCCACATCTCACCATCTCACATAATGTCTTTACTCTGTTGTTTTGTTTTGTTAATACTGACTAACTAATTAACTAACTAACCAACTAACTAACCAACCAACCAACTAACTAACTACATGAAGCTGAACCCTTCTTGAGAAGCTGCCTATTGTGCAGCTACTCAAGAACTTCCCAGCAGATTAAGGAAACGGAAGGTTTATTACCACATCCACAAGAGTCCTCCACTGGTTCCTATTCTGAGCCAAATCAATCCAGTCCATACCACCCCATCCTATCTCTTTAAGATCCATGTTAATGTTATCCATTCACCTAAATCTTGTTCTTCCTAGTGGTCTCTTTCCTTATGGCTTTCCACTTCTCCCCATTTGTACTATATGCCCTGCCCATCCCATACTCTTTGACTTAGTCATTCTAATTATACTTGCAAAGAGTAAAAGTTATGAAGCTTCTAATTATGCAGTTTTCTCCAATCTCCTATCATGTCATCTCTCTTCGGTCCAGATATTCTTCTCAGCTCCCTGTTCTCAAACACCTTCTGTCTATGTCCCTCCTGTAATGCCAGAGACCAAGTTTCACACACATACAGAACCACAGATAAAATTACATTTTTCTATATTCTAAATTTTATGTTTTTAGACACAGATGGGAAGACAAAAGGTTCTGGACTGAATGGTAACAAGCATTACCTGAAATCAGCCTCCTCTTAACTTCCTTGTGAATCAAATTTTGATTTGTTACTGTCATTCCCAAATACAGTGGAACCTTGCTTAACGAGCATAATTCGTCCCAGAATCTTACTCGTAATGCTAAACACTCGTTAAGCGAAACAATTTTTCCCATATAAATTAATGTAAAATACGATAATGTGTTCCATGCCGAAAAAAATACTCAAAAAATTTTATGTATAATGTTTATTCAAAGAAAATTATATATACATTGTTAAGGAGCGTGAATCATCTTCATCTTTTCTTTTATATGGAATGAACCAACCTGGAATGCGAATTCGATTTGCAGGAAAAAAAAAAACACGAAATAATTAGTTTATTATTTATGATACATATCTAATTCTATTTTACTAGAAAGCTGTCTGGAGACATTTGTTTTTGCTGACGCTTCAAAATTTGGTGAAAATGCGACACAGCATTATCATTAAATAAATTTGTAGCGCGCATAGCCACTGCCTTATTAGGTGATGCTTCTCAATGTACGATGCAACAGTTTCCCATGCTTTCAGCATTTCTCTTATTGTGCCAGAAGATTGTTCCTTTGCTGTTACCTCCTCCTCCTCTGACAAACTCTCCTCCACAACTTCTTGCTGTGAAACACAATGCAACTCCAAATCATGCAAATCGTTGATGTAGACCGATTGTATGTGCGTGCTAGATCAGCCACGCTCACACCTTGTTCTCACTTTTCAATGATTTTACTTTTCATTTCTATGGTAATTTTTATTCTCTTATGGCTGTCTTTTTGCGGCTTTTTCTTCGGGGACATTTTTGCAAGGGTTATTAAACTTTGCACAAAAAAATCACAAATAATATGTCTGAACACAAGTTTGGAAAAATGTGTGATCACAAGCGACACTAAGATGCTAGCGGAACAAGTGCTAAACATAGACTGATGTAGCAAGTGCACAATCCGGGACTTCCCCTCTCCTCACTCGTTATGCGAAACGTCGCTCGTTAAGCGAGTCATTTTTTACAATTTGTTTTGCTCGTTATGCAAATTATTTGTTATGAGAGGTGTTCGTTAAGCGAGGTTCCACTGTATTTGAACTGTACCACATTTTCAAAGGTTCTGTTAGCTATCTTCATATCAAGAGTTTGCCTTATGTTCTGGTGATGATACAGCAACATATACTTCTTTTTCTCTGTGTTTACTAATAGACCCACCTCCTTACTAGTGTCAATTAAAGTTTGTGTGTTTTTCTTTATGGTATCTATATTATCACCCAATATATTCACATCATCAATATAGACCAGCAGCTGATGTGTCCCATTTAATTTCAGTCTCACCTGGTTTTCCTGGACTTTTATAATGGCATATTCTAAAGCAATGTTGAAAAGCACTCATAATAAAGCATCTCCTTGTTTTAGCACATTCTGGATATGACAATTATCAGACAAATATTTACATATATGGACTTTGCTATATGTTTCGTTTAAACATATTTTAATCAGCTTAACTAGTTTTAAGGGTACCCCAAACTCTACTAATGAATTAAAATGTAAGCTAAATATGTGTACCTAAAATGTGCAATAAAAATCAAAATTGCCTAAAGTATGTATTTATGTGTAAAATGAGAATTAATTGTTGATTATATAGAAACTAGGATGCAATTAAATATGAAATACTTTTTCATATATATGCAGCCCTTACTTATTACAAACCATTTATTTCAAGAAAAAATTTGATACTTATTATGATTCAGTTTCGGAATTTTTATCTTCAAAAAATTTGCTGCTGTAATAATTGAATATTTATAAATACCTATCATCATACCAAATTTTGAAATCTAGTATGGAATGGTGCTAGTGTTATTCCGATCTTGCAGGCTTTTAACTACTGCCATGTTTGTACTGCTGATGGCGGGGAGTTAAGAAATACTAATATGTGGAGTCCAGGTTTCACAAAATTCTGTATACTGTTGTCCTCAGTTGAAATGAGGCACATATCTTGCTAATCTTTATCATCTGGGAATAGAGGGTTTTAAATCCTCTAGTACTGTGGGGCTGGCAGCCAGACTTTAACTCTGGGGTGATTATATTTGTATTAAAAAACGCATTATTGGGCCAGCTGGACTGCACACTTGTAGTGTGCATGTTCAGTAAGGGCTAATGTAGGGTCATAAAATGGGATTATCAGTTCTTAGTAATGTAAAAGCTTTTACATTTGATTGGCATAGCTCGCCTATGGATGGGTTGTGCCATCTTCTGTCGACGTAAAGACACAGGATCATACTATACACCACGACTTGACCTCAATGATTTGGGCGTGAACCCATACTTCCCTGATGGCACATGGTGTCACAATGATGGTACATCAAACTACTACTGCCTGCAACATCATTGCTTGCCCGAGGTACAGCCTGTAGCCAGTTTTATGTGAATCTTCCTTTTGTAATGAAACTAAAATAAACTTTTCCAGTAAAGTCATTTTGAATAGTCTTAATTGTAAAAAAAAAAGAGCTTTTCTTTCACTTTATTTGTTTGGTTTTTTTTGTCTCATGTTGGACTACAAGTGATGTATAGGAAATCATAACACTAAAACTTTCACTCTAATTGCCGATACAATATATATAAGGCCAAAACTGTCTTTTTAACTGTTTATGCTGACAGGAAACTGTCAGGCATCCTGGCAAGTTGTTCCAATTACCCACTTACTTGGATCAGAATTTCCATATTTTCTTTCCCCCTCCCTCAGTTCAACAGAAGACTTATCCAGTGATGTTCAACCAACCAATTTAGTTTTTCCAGCATACACCCTCTACATTATGTAAACTCTTTACTTAAATTATCTCATTATAAATGTACTCCTTGTATTCTCCACAGAACTTCTGGCTTGGCAAGAGTCTGCCACATTTGTTTGGCAGTGAAGATGTACCACTACCACAGAATGCACCACCCCACCTTGTTCCACTCTCTGGTGACCTGCTGCGCTACCTCAGTCTTGGCACAGATGGTCTTCCATTGCTGACCACACTCAAACCTGGGTCTACATCCCCACCTGCTGAGGAGGAGTGGACAGACCATGACTATGTGGAGCTCCCTTCTCATTAGAGTGATGTACACTCTATGATGTTGATGTTGCACTCTTGTTTTGCCTTGTCATCACATTTTTTCAAAGTGTTCCAGATGTCCCAGTTTCATCCATATGCAAAGATTTTTTTTTTTTTAATTCTTGGTAATTCTAGAGTGGCTGCTTGTCACTTGGTTGTTCATATTCTTCAGATAAATGTATTCACTCATAAAGCAGAACATAAATATTTTCTGTTTTGCACTTTATTCATTATCACCATCTACAGCAGCAGCAGTAGTATTGTTTAAAGGACATTTAACATCACTGTATTAGGTGCAAAGATTTTGTAGCACTGAAAGAGTTGAGAAGCTTATTATAAAGAGTGAATTAGAAAGGAGGGAGTAGAAAATGGTTTTATTCTACATTTCCATGTATAATCAAGCCTGTTGTATGTACCCTTATTATACATAGCTATAGGGTTTTGAAATAAAGTCAGATGAACTCCTGACAGCTTGTTTTGAATAATTTAGCCATTCAGTAAGGTCAGGTCCATCATCTGAAAAAGCATCTTCATCCTCCTCCATATCTATCTTCTCTAGCCCTCTTGTCCCCACAGTTAATGGCCCTCATATGCTGACTGCAGCCTCTAACAGTGACTGATATCAAGCAAGTTTCATTCATTTGTCTCACTGTATGTGGGAGATACACAATTTGAATTTTACATGGGGCACTGGCTATTCTTTTTCACTTGGGTTCACTGCGGATTTCCTCAGTCATTCTTGGTGAACCTGGCATATCATTTTGAAACATGCTACAACTGTATTCTTTCCAATTTACTGCACAAAATACCCCCCCACACACACTCACACACAAAAAAAATCCCATTCACTAAAAATAGAAAATACAGAAATGAGATTTTTAGAAATTTGGCAGGCTATACATTAAGAGTTGAAATTAGAAATACACTAACTGTTAATGTACTAAATGTATTAAATTTAAGTCATAGATCTGAGAACAGTAGCTCTAATTGAAACCATCATATTGAAAGAATGAATCCAGAACATATTCCTAAATAATTAATGGGATCTAAAGGATGCCCAAAGTTACATTGGAAAATCAATTTCTTCAATTTAGAAAAGGAACAGACTGAAAGGTACAAACCTTTATGCTGATGAAATAATTTTCTCATTGCATTTGATAATATAACCTTGCAGAAGCATTATTAAATACCCTGAAAACAAAGATATCTGATGATGATCATCACAAGGGGATTGTGTGTGTGTGTTAGTACGTATCTTATTTGCTTTCCACTACTAGATATTTAGATATGCTTTTGAATTTGTCATGAAGTTCATTCATGTTAACAAAGATGATCAAATATTCCACTCTGTATGATAATTTTCATCATCTTCATTAAGCTGATCTGTACTGTTACAAAAATGAAGTAATATCAGCAGTCATGTTAACAAAAGTGCTGAAGAGTAGACCAAATGATGTTCAGCATGTAATATCATAACCACAAAAGAGTTCATTTCCACAAATTTTAACCACAGATGGTGGTGTATCTAAACCTTAGGCACATGAAAGAAATTCAGGAGAATGAGACTGTTCAAAATAAATAGCTTTACCTATAAGAATATTACAATGTAAAATTACTGCTACAAGTTATACTTAATGGTTTTTATTACTTCATTATCTTCATTATCAATGTAAATATATAATGACTGCAGTGTATCATATAAAAATATACATGGGCATTCTTAAGTAGTTACTATAGGATTCTGGTGATGGTGTATAACACACAGAGATATTGGGTTTTTGGACTTTATCCATCGTCCTGGTTTCTAAGATAACTAAGAAAAACACGTTTCCGAAACTGGATCTGTTTGCATCTGTTTGTGAGGGAAAACACCTATTCTGTTGGATCCCTTAGAAAGATCTAGCCTCAATCACTGCACAACCGATATCACAAAACACAAAGATTATAAATACCTGAGACCTGGCTAAGTCCATGAGAGCTAATAAGAAAAATATACATAACAAATTGTACCAAACACATACAAGCGTGGAACCAAGATAGATAGAGCCGTAGAAATTTATGTCATGAAACCAAACTAATAATCATGTCCATGACCCCACGGCATGGAATAGAAAGAAGAACTAGTAAAAAACTAATAGTGTCTAACTAGCGTCAACAATGGAGTAAATCACGTCTATCTATTTTAGAACCTAATATAAATCAATAACTCTTTCCTTGTTGCGTTCAGTTGAGGCTGTTCGAAGACGACCGCTCTGAGGCTCATCTTCGATGCTGGTGTTCCCATCTTTAAAATGTTTCACCCATCTTCGAACACTGCTTGCACCCATGCACACACTTCCATTAGCACACTGAAGTCTCTGGTGAATTTCTGCAGCAGGGATTTCCTCTTTCACAAGAAATTCAATGACAGCACGCTGGTGAAATGACATATCGTTTTTGGCCATCTTGTTAGGAGTCATACTGGTCACGTGATGCAAGCTATTGACATCACAAGACACTCAAGGTTAACACAACAGCTGGTTCCACCTACCACTGTACTCTCTTTCATCTGCTGTTCCCAGGTTGCATGCAAAAACAAGTTGCTCATGACTTTCGGTACGACCTACATAAGTTATTTAAGAAGCATGGGCAGTGAAAATGATTTTGAGATGACTGAAATGGAACTAGTGGATTTAAGCTAATTTTAGTGTGTATTTATTGATCACCACATAGGTACCTTTATACATTTTTGAATAAGTTGGAAATAGTGATTTTTAAAGTGCAAATGAAAAGTATGAAATTAATTCTGTGTGGTGACTAGAATATAAATTTCTTGCAAGATAGTGCACAGCTTAGTGCATTACTGAATCTTTTAGAAATTTATAACTTGATAAATACAGTTACATCTCCAACAAGGATAACAAAACCTCAGTATCATTAATAGATGTTATGAGAACTGATAAGCTATACTTAAAAACTTAACGGAAGTGTTAGATTTGGGGTATTCAGATCATTTTCCACAGATATTACATATAAAGGTAAATAAGCCTAGAACAAGATGGGAAAAAAATTACAAGAAGACAGTTTTCAGGTAGGAATATAGAAGAATTCGACCATATACTTGAGATGGAATCCTGGGAAGATGTTCTTTTTTATGATGAAGTAAATACCTCTTACAATACTTTTTGAACAGATTTTTGTACTATTTTGAAAGAGCTTTTCCTTTAAAGACAGTTTATAAGAAAAACTATAATGAGATTAAATGGATTACCCAGGGCATAATGGTTTCAAATGAGACTTTTAAACACTTTAAAGAAAAAAATAAAATTTTCAAACGATATATTAGAATACATTAATAGATATTAGAAAATCTATAAAAGGTTTATAACAGAAGCTAAAAGAAAAGAAAATGATAGGTTTATGTTAAGTTCACATAAAAAAACAAAGGAAATTTGGCAAATAATAAATAAAGAAACTGGAAATTCTCGGCAGGGCGATTATATAACTAGTTTAAAGAATGGAAGTGAGGAAACATCAAATCCACAAAAAATGGCAGACATGTTGAATTCCTTTTTTATTGAAAGTGCTGAAGATCTTTAGCGAATAATGTAAACCATTCTCCAGTACAAACCTCACAATAGAGGGTTCAATATCAAATGAACACAATGTTTTGGCTCCCTGTTACCGAAATTGAAATAGAGAGGGTAATAAAAAGTCTAAGAGGTAAACCATCTGCAGGTTTTGATGAAATTCCAGAATATTTAGCCAAGAGATGTTCACATTACACAAAGAAACCTTAGTACATGTTTTCAATACCTCTTCAAAATCGGGGGTCTTTCCTGATAACATGAAAATAGCTAAAGTAAGACGACTGAATAAAAAATGGGAAAGACAGGAAGTTTATAATTACAGGCCAATATCAGTTTTGCCGGTTTTCTCCAAAATACTAGAACAATTGGTGTGTAACAGTGTTATATGGTACAACATGCAACATGAAGTGGTAGCTGGTCGATGCAGTGGTGTCGTCCATATAAACAAAATTTAGTCTCTTAGAGTCTGTCCAAAGATTTACGTGGGGATCGCCAGTAGCTGTGTGTTTCACCGGAGTGCCAGGAAATTGCAGGTGGTGAACTGGATGTGGAGTGTAGTGAAATCCGATCGAAGTGAGAAAATATTCAAAGTCCAGTCTGGTAGAAGATAGGATAGGTTTTATTAAGCAAACCAACGTACAGTCGAACAGACCAGTTATTAACAAGAGCTCCTGACCCTCAGGAGAGAGTTTATATTCACACTACACTAGGCGTTGGCTCAAAGGAATGTGCTTTGTTCTCCCAGTCCTTTGACCTGGTCATGATCCCTAAAATTAATAGCCTTTATCTTCCTCTCAATTAGTGAGTATTGCTCACTAACACTTTGTTTACACAGTGTTAGTGTGAGGACCAGAAATAAACAATTCCAAAGCCTTATTTACACTTTTAAACTGTTGAAGGGTTGTCAGTTTTATAGCTGCGTGTGGCTTTACTTTGCAACCATACCCAGTATTAATAAACTATTCTGTGGCATGTTTAAGAATTCGTGGTTAATGCACTGCCGTGACAGTGGGCAATAATATCAGAGTGCTGCTGGCTTATGTATTTTGACAGCCTGAAATAACAGAGGGCTTGGTTCCTATGACAACAGGTTGATATCCTTTGTTACAAAATATACCATATTAACAGAAGTGCAAAATGGATTTAGGAAAACAAATCGACAGAAACAGCTTCCCAGACCTTCATTGAGAGTATACAAGAGTTGATGGATAGGCGGTTACACGTTATAGGAATACTTTTTGACTTGACAAAGGCATATGATGTGATAGACCTATGGTTTAAATCTTATTTATCTCACCGAGTACAATTTGTTGAAATAAATCACTTGAATAAAAATATAATCCAAAATACATATATATCACCCTTGAGAGAAACAATACATGGGGTACCACAGGGGTAAATTCTGGGACGACTACTGTTTCTTCTGTATATAAATGATCTCCCACTAAATGTACAAGGTGCGGAAATGGTAACGGAACTGCCGTTGCAGTAAGAAAAGGCATTCCCCATAACCATGTAGACCCACCACCCCTTGGTTCAGTAGAAGTGACAGGGGTCTGCATACCAATTGGTAATAGCGAAGTGCTGCTTGCAGCTGTTTATAAATCTCCAGGCAGAGCCTGGAGTGATGCTGACATCACTGAGCTCTTAAGCTTCAGACCTAAGTCTATTTTGGCAGGTGATTTGAATGCTAAGAACCCATTTTGGAATAGCAGAGTTTCAAACCACTCAGGCTTGAAATTTATTTATTTATTTATTTATTTGATAAGAGTGATTTCGAAAGCTCAGCGCCACAGTGCCCCACTCATTATTCCCCTGCGGGAAATGGTGACGTGCTGGACATCGTGGTCCACCAAAATATCAGAGTGTCAGATGTCGTCTCTGATATTTTGGACTCAGATCACCTACCAATAGTATTCCACATACTGGATCACGTTAAAATTAGGAATCTTTCGGAACTCATCGAAAAATTTACAGATTGGGAGCGCTTTCAAAGCCTCGCTTCTGAATTAATATCACATAAATTAGAAATTAATTCGGGGGTAGAAGCCGCTAAAGCGGCACGCGACTTTGCAGCCTCTATTGCTTCGGCATATAGGTTGTCGACAAGTAAAATTACACTTTCGGACATAAACAACGATCTTCCTGGTCTAGATCGTTTTATCGTTTGATAAAATATAAACAGAGGCTACGAAAACTGTGGCAAGAAACCAGGGATCCAGCATGTAAGATTGCAGTCAATTGGGCCACCAAATCAATCAGGCGAATGACCCGAAAAAAGACACTTTAACGGTGGGAAACAAAAATAGGTAACGCTGAAGTCACACCTCAGATTATATGGCCCATTGGGAAATCTCTCCATAAGAGAGACGGACCAAGGGCACCAACTGCTATTCATGGTTCTTCTGGCCTTAAATTTCATCCTTCTGAAAAAGCCAACGAAATTGCCGACTGTTTGGAAATTCAGTTCACGCCACATGACCTGTGCGACGAAAACCATGAACAGCGGGTGGAGGCTAGAGTTCAAGCTCTGCTGGAAGCCGTAGACGACAACCCCCCTCAAAGGATCAGACCGTGTGACTTTAAGAAATTAATAAAATCCCTGAAATTAAAAAAGGCCTGCGGAATTGACGGCATCCCAAATGAATGCCTCAGGCACCTTCCAAGGCGACCATTGGTTCACCTAACTCATTTATTCAATCATTGTTTTCGGCTCTATCATTTTCCAAATACTTGGAAGGAAGCAAAAATAATAACTTTACCTAAACCCGGTAAAGACCCGAAATTTCCTCAAAATTTACGTCCGATCAGCCTCCTGTCCACGACAGGAAAACTATTCGAAAAAGCAATCTTGAAATTCCTCCGTAAACATATTGAAGAAAAAGGCCTGCTCAACGCAAGACAGTTTGGTTTTCGTGCACGTCACAGCACGGCATTGCAATGTATGAGGTTGGAGGACCACGTGACCCTTAATTTTAACAATAAATGTCTACGGTTGCAGTGTTCTTGGACGTCGAAAAAGCCTTTGATACCACGTGGCACTCAGGATTGCTGTATAAGTTATCAAAATTGGAATTCTCGTACAGTTTGACCAAACTTATTGGGTCCTTTCTTTCTAAACGTAAATTCAGGGTCTCTGTTGAAGGCGAAATGTCAACGCCAAGGGAAATGCAAGCAGGGGTGCCACAAGGTTCTGTCCTTTCCCCTACTCTTTTCAACCTGTACATAAATGATGCCCCCCAAACTCATGGTGTTCACCTGGCCCTCTTTGCGGACGACACCTGTCTGTATGCGACAGATCGCAAGGAGGGTTTTATTGTTAGAAAACTCCAGAGCGGTCTCAGCTCAATGGAGACCTGGTATGAGCGCTGGAATATAAAAATTAATGAAGATAAGTCTCGGGGGGTCTACTTCTCTCGTGACCGCCTGAGTCTTGTCTTACTCTTAATGGACGAAATATTCCATTTGTAAATAATGCAAAATATCTAGGTGTAATCTTCGATAAGAGAGTGACATGGAGATTACAGATAGAAATGATCGAAACCAAGGCCTTCAGAACATTCATTAGAGTATAAGAGTATTCCCTATTCAAAAGTGAGCGATTGAGCGCTAACATTAAATTGACCCTCCGCAATGCTCTTAATAGTTCTGTAATGACTTATGCTAGTCCCGCCTAGGAGTTTACGGCAACACCCGTCTAGTGAAATTGCAGCGCCTGCAAAAAAGGTTCTCCGCACCATTGGCAATTTTCCAAGGCGCACACCGGTCCGCAAATTGCACATGGCATTCAAAATTCCATACGTATATGATTCCATAACAAAATTATGCAGGCAACAAGCAGAAGTCATACAAAATCATGAAAATGGGAATGTTCGCATTATTGGTCAAGGTGAAGCCCGACATAGAAAGTATAAGAGGCTTAAACTTGGCGGCGGTCAGGCATACGATCGTTCAAGTGACTTGACAGCCGTGGTAGCAAATAATACTAGAAATAGGGCATAATCTGCTGTACAAAGCCTGGTTTGACAGAGGCCTTGTATATACTGTACATAGAAATAGGAATTAAGACTAGAATTAAATTGTAAATATATGTCAATACTGAATATGGACTGACTAAGACTGACAAGTGACAGACCCGACCTCTCGTTAGAGAGGGCGCCCGAAATGGACAGGACAGCAACTTTCATAAAGAAGAAAACATCTGGTCATTAGCCCCAGCTGGGACTCGACACCAAGACAGACAGACTGACTGAGCGTCAGTTGCAACATGACTTTGACTTTGACTTTGACTCGCAATCGTCAGTGACCACATCAGCCAGTCAGCTATCACACCTAGTCCAGAGCGATCGGTCTTCGGAAGCATCGGCTTTTCACTGCGCCAGGGACGGCTGCCTCGGCTCTCCGGCGGTCATGCCCAACTCACCGGGAAACTGGCGCAGCTGCCGCCACTCCAGCGACCGCGCTCCACGACCAGACGTCTTCCAGCAACCACGCTCTACGGCCAGGCAGCTTCTGGCAACTGCCGCACTGCGACCAGGCAATTTCCGGCAACTGCCGCACTGCGACCGGACAACTAACTCAGCTGCGCAACATTAGCCAACACCGTAGCCATCATCTATTTCTACCGGTGCGAGGAGCCCTACATCACCGGTCAGACAGACCAGCCGAACGGGCGTAAAACTCTATCCACCGCGGTGGAACAAACGGCCCTTTTCAGGGCCCCCAACCTTTCCGAAGTAGTTGTCTATTGGAGCGTCGACAAATCCCACAGGATAAAAAGTGAGAGTTAGTTCTACTGCATGTGCATAATCAGGATACTAACCTTAAATTATATTTGAAGCAGTACAGCAAAATACTAACTAAAGCGATTGCAGCGGCAAAAAACTATATTATAACAGAATTATCTCTAACTCTGATGATAAAATGAAATGTACATGGAAAATAATAAATAAGGAAAAAGGAATCACTAAACAAGATATAGGTATCCAAGCTCTTATGCTTGATAATAAGCTAATTAGGAATCAAAGGGAAATGGCAGACACTTTTAATAATTACTTTTTATCTGTAGCGGAAACGACGAGAATTAATAATAATATAGATAAGTTCCAGTGTAAATATACGTAGTAGTTTGTATATTTTTTTAAATGCTGTATTTATATATTGCTTATGATTGTAACAAATGTTGGTAGTATGCTTGTAAATTTGTAGATTTATTTTGTTAACTTGTATTACCGAATGACTTGTCCAAGTGTTACTATATAGCAAAACGGATGAAATGAAATATAATACAATACAATATAATACCTGTCTACATAGTGTTACGTCCCAAGAAAGTAGTACACACCAGTACGCACTCTTCTAGAGTGGTGTTATGTCAAGAATGGTGAAGAAGCTATTGTTTTGAGATACAGATTTTTGTACAACATAAAAAGTGGTCACATAAACTTTGTTCTTTGGGATTATATTTATTTTGTAACAATCAATATCCTGTAAACTTTAGTGTTATAAAAGAAAATACTTTCATTTATTTTCGTCACATGATTTTTGTTTACTACTACATTCAAATAACTATTTTTTCTTTTCTTTCATGTTGCTCACACTTTGCGGCATAGGGCACCCGTGAAACGCTTGTTTCACTTCAGTTTCTTTATCCTAAGACAGCTGGTAGGACTCCTTGTACGAGGGATCAGCCCGTCGCAAGGCCGCTACGGCCACTGCCTACACAGGGCAACAAAAACACAGAACAAACGCAGACAGACAACCATGCCTTGAATGGGATTCGAACCCACGATCCCAACGTTTGGGCCAGCGAAGACCTTAGACCGCGCGACCACTTTGTACGGCCCATCAAATAATTATTTTAATTAATAATTAGCACCATTAGCACTCTTCTGACATGTGCTGCTATTAGTGGTGTAGAGCTGAAGTATGACATACACGGCAAACGAGTAGAGCTTACCAATTCTTCGAGTTATCTGTGCCACAAGAACTGGACTTACGCCACTTTTGCTTTAAACTTCCCGAAAGAGTCTTTATTCGTGCACCTCTGTGCGCTTGTGTTTACGTCTGAGAGTTCTAGGTTGTAATTTAGTAGGTTTGGTAATTAGGCGTTAATAGTATTTGCAAAGTACATGCATGCGTCAGTCATAAGACTGGACTTTAATTGCAATGAACTTGGTTTAGACGAATGCGCAATAATACAAATAAATTGGAGGAAAATACAGTATGTAGTATAGATGTAGAGGTTATATTCTGTCAAAGCAAATGTGGAATTTACGATGTGGGTGTTTTTGCCGTAGAAATAGTCATATAAGAAAAGGCGTTTGGTGTACTCTGAATAGGAGCTGTTACTGAGTGAGTGGACAGATTGTTTAATTTAACATTGCATTCTCCTAAAAGTAAAAATTTTATATCATTTTTTAATTAGAAAGATATCTCATTACAAGGGAACTCAAGCTCTCAACCAGCAACCACAAAAAGGACACATAATTCAATGTCATATACAAATGTGGTTGTCGCATCCAACATACGCTTTACCTGAACTAGATTTCAGGTTGTACTTAGGTGTATCAGGTACAGACCATTTAAACTACCCAGTCACTTTGAGTAACATCTGGGTAATATGTAGTACAGAGTCAAATACCATACCACACCATAACACTTTCTCATGCCTTCCACCTGCTTATAAAAATAATGTAGAATTAATATTCCCCAGAATTGTAATTCGCAATGAAGTACCCAAAGGATACGTTAATATTTAGGAAAATGTGGCTTTCATTTTGCAAGTGTTTCACGTGTTCACTTAAATTCATTCATTCATTTCCTTCATTTTCCATATATCCATACAGGTAAAAAACCTAAGATGTGGAAATAGTCCCTTTGATAATAGATGTGTCCAGATACATATAATAAATTACATGAGTTACATAATTAAAATCACATACATTAGTCAATTAACATAGATAATAAAATAAACTTATTACAATTATAATTAATAAACATAATTTAAGAAGAACATTACTATAAAAACTTAAAATTAATACAATTTAACTTAAATTACCTAAGTTAACTGAATTAAATGCATTATAAATTTATGCACTTATGACCAATTATCTTTCTTTCTTTATTTAATTTTCCCATAAATCAAAATACATTGATACAGGACTTGTCATATCGCAATACTATCAGCAAAAAGCATATACAGGCAATTCTGCAGTTAAACAATACGTATAAATCATGCTTATCAAAATGAAAAGCTGCATAAAAATCAATACAAAAGATTACATCAACCATGCAAAAGACTGTATCAGATTATAAAGTATTTGTAAGAAGCAAGGTTTTCCATTATTCACCAATCTAGATATTCCTGCAATGAGTGAAAGGAGCCAATATGGAGAAACTTTTTTAAGGCATATTTAAACTTATCAACATCATTTGTCATGTTCTTAAGATTCTGTGGTAAATTATTAAATATCATAATCCTGGAACAGTAGACATCTTTTTGGACTTTAGTTAATTTATAAGTTGAATGATGTCAATCCGAACTTTGTCTGGCATGGATACTATGTATATCAGAATTTAGTGTGAAAGTATCGATATTTTTAACAACAAACATGGATATTGAAAATATATATTGTGAGTAAAACGGAAGAATATTTAGGTACCTAAACAATGGATGACAAGAGTCCATTTTTCTAGCTTTCATAATGGTTTTAACTATTCTTTTTTGAATTTTAAAAATTAAATTACTGTTGGCAGAATTGCCCCAAAATATAATTCCATAGGACATAATGGAATGTACATAGGCATAATAGGTCATCAGTAGACTCTCCTGGGACACAATGGAAGATAAAGTTCTGATGGCATAGACAGCTGAACTGAGCTTAATTACTAACTGGTTAATATGATCTTTCCAGGACAAAGTATTATCAATGATTAGTCTAAGAAATTTGACATTACAAGTGTTTTGGATTGGAGTATCACTATATATTATATTTAAGTTTTTTAACAGATTCAATTTTGTTGTAAAGTAGACACAGTTGGTTTTACTTAAATTTAGCGTTAGTGAATTGTGTGAAAACCACTCATTTATTTTTAGCAGGATTGCTTTCAAGGTAGTTTCGAGTTCTGTGGAATTAGAATTTGAAGACAGTATACTAGTATCATCTGCATACAAAATTGGTATGGATGATTTATTTACTACATAAGGCAGATCATTGATATACAACAGAAAAAACAAAGGCCCAAGTATCGAACCTTGTGGAACACTCTGTTTAACTTTTTGCCATTCAGAAACACCCTTTCTATAATTATTATTTATTAAAGTTCTTTGATATCTATCAGTCAAGTAAGATTTAATCAGCTTCTCTGCTATACTATTGATGCCATAAAACTCCAATTTAGCAAGCAATATGTCGTGATTGACACAGACAGACGCCTTGGTTAGATCACAAAATAATCCTCCGACAGCTAGTTTGTTATTAAGTGCCAGTAGGATATTATTTATTAAGTTAAAGGTAGCCATATCAGTAGTTGATTTGGGTTGAAAACCATAGTGTTCTTGCGCCAGTATCTCAATTACATCGATATGATTTTGCACTCTCTAGAAAATGACTCTTGAAAATCTTGGAAAAGGATGTCATCAAGAATATGGGTCTATAATTAACAATATCAGACCTGTCACCCTTTTTGTAGATGAGATTAATTTAAGAATACTTCAAGCGGTCTGGAAAAATACCAAGGCTCGGTAGTTTATTACATATATAAGTTAATGGAGACAGAATGAATGGTAGGCTTCTTTTTAAAATATTTTGCAAAATCATATCATATCCACGTGAACTCTTCGATTTTAAAGACTTAATTATGTCTTTAATTTCACCTGTGGTTACTGGAGTCATATTTATATTAGGGAATGGATGTTGAAATACCTTGAAGAGATTGTTTAAGGAATCCACGACCTTAGAAGATGAGCTAGATTGAGTTTGGGGTACTGGGGCAAAAAAATAATTATTGATAGTATCAGCTATTATTTGTACATTGTTACATAGTTTACCCTCAATATTTATACTTGGGACTGAATTATTAACAAGTCTGGTATTGGTGACATCTTTAACGATGCCCCAAGAAGTCTTAATTTTGTTTTTAGAGTTGGAAATTATCTTATTATAGAATGATTTTTTGCTCCCTTTATAACCTCAGTTAACACCTTACAGTATTTCTTATAGTGCCTTATTTGCTCAGGATTTTGAGTTTTCCTACTAAGCATATACAGCTCTCTTTTATGGGCACAAGTAGTTATCCAGGGTTGATTTTTTTTATTTAAGAAGTACATTTTATAGGGGAAACTATGATTAAATATTCTTATATAAGTATTAAGAAAATTATTGAACATCAATTTCACATCACCACTTATATTAAAAACATCATCCCAAGATTCATGACTGAGACTCGTACCAAATTCTGTAATTGTACATTCATTAGTGCTAATACATTATTTTGAACTGTAATTGAAGATTGAGGATGAGCAGTATGTGGGTATCATTTACTTTTCCAGCTGACAGGAAGAAAGAGATCTTGTTGATGTGTATTAATTGGAAATAAGTTTTGTTTTGTTTGGTTTTATCACGTTTGCTGCTGTGGGCAAGTGTCATATCTGAAGACCTATGAAGTGCAAGTGACACATATTTAATGTTTGTAAATTAGCATAAAACAATATATGCACAAGAGAAAGTAGTCAGAGAATGCATAGGATTGACAGAAATGCAAGGCTTGGTAATAAAACGGTGGCAACATAGAAATACCATATTTATGAAACAACATCCAGTTACAGTAGTTACCAGCATAATGTATTTTTAAATAACCAAAGAAGTTTCAACCCCTGTGGGATCATCAAGGGTGTCAGTATAGTCATTCATGGTTTTACATTATTATTTCTCTTGTCATTATTTTGACACATCTGAAAACCCGGTAACATCTCTTGTGTTAATAGTACGATAGTGTTGATCTAGAAGTTAAAATTCCTATATACAGTATATAAGAGTTTTGTCTTTAGTCCATCAAGTTGTCTCCATTATTGTAATCTTGTGTTGTTCTGTCATCAGTAGAATAACATCCTCCCCTATCAGTGACATAAAATATCAGTATAAATGGTCATATTACTGTAATGATTATTTGCATACTGAAATTATTTTGTTAAATATATTTGGTCAGTTGATTTGAAGGTCACTCAGCTGTTCTGTGTACAGTTGTTCTGCATGAAGTATCTGTGTTTGACCTTGTTTATCAAGGTTTGTATTTAGAAATCTTGACAAAAACATTCTGCATTATGTTCTGTTAGGTTAGGTTTGGTTGGCACATCAGACCAATGGCCATCTTTCTGTACATCCTCTTGTGCACTTGCCTCTAGCTTTGTCAAATTGGGCTATATTAGGATAATATATAACTTTTTTATTATTAAGACCATCACAGCACAACTATATCAAGGTCAGTGCCTGGTTTTGGCTCTGCTACATGTTTCGGCTATTAATAGCCATCAGGCAAATACATGGCTAACATATGTACTCCACTGAACTGCAGTATTAATAAAATTGGATTCAATAATATTAATTATATTAAAATACTTGATGTAAAAATACAATAAATTAGATTATATAAAACAAAAGTTATAGTATAAAACAAGAATAAAATTCTTCGATTGATGCTTTACATCATCGAGTCAGTTGTTGGTTTTTGTGATTTTGTTTCGTTCCCATGGACAAATTGGAGTATTCTATATTTTGTGTCTAAAAACTGTTATTGGAGGCTCATGATGTTGATGTAGTAATATTAATGTTAATTCATATTTAGTCGGTGCCTCATCTTACAAAGTATTGTCCGTTCTATAGGGAATGTAAAGGAGAACTCTAATTTATTATCTATAATCTAATTTATTGTAATTTTACATCAAGTATTTTAATATAATTAGTATTATTGTATCCAGTTTTATTAATACTGCAGTTCAGTGGTGTATATATGTTAGCCATGAATTTGCCTGATGATAGCTATTAATAGCTGAAACATGTAACAGAGCCAAAACCAGGCACTGACCTTGATATAGTTGTGTTGTGACTATTACTATTATTACTATTTTTATTACATTCCATTAATCCGTACAAGGTCAAAGACCTATAGGATATAGAAACTGTCATAATAAATATAAAACAATAAGTATAACAGTAAATCTAATATACATGTCATATATCTTACAGTAGCCATCTGAAACAATTTTACATAAAATTAATACAAATGTGGTAATAAAAGTAAATTACAACTCTTAACTAAATAATGTACAGGTATTCATTGGGAAGTTGTTTTGTAAAATTCATCAATGGTATAAAATGCATGTTCAGTGAGATAGCTTCTCAAAATAGATTTGAATTGCTTAACGTCTTTAGATAACAATTTAATATTCAAAGGTAAGTGATTATAAATCTTGCTTCCAGAAAACAGCATTCCTTTTTGTACTATTGATAAATTTGTAGAGGGTAGTTAGTTAGTTAGTTAGTTATTGGAGAGGGTGGGTTTCCCCATGTACTGAGACCTGTATTGGTCCATTGTGCTTCCCTCTTATGATTTCTACCAGTCTCTATATCCTACCGGTACTGGTGCTTACCATCAGTCCTGCCCAGCCAGCGAGACCGGCTCTACTAGCTGAGAGGTATCTATAATGCTTCCCCCATCTACCAGAGGTATTAGAGACTGCTGTTGGGCGGGAAACGTCTGTTAATTTGGCTCAGTGACCTCCTTCGGAGATATGAGGTTCTTTTACGTGCCGTAAAGCTACGACACGGGACCCACGGCTTAAAGTCCCTCCCAGAGGACTTGTTCCCTGAATTTTTCTGCCCTTAAAAATTCGATGACCTCTGCCGGGTATTTGAACCTGCGTACTACGAGTCATGAGGTGGGAACGTTACCTCTAGACTACGGAGGCCGCTTAATAAAAGGCTTTATTGCCCTTATTGCGAGACATGCCTTATTTAAGCTTGATGATAACTAAGCAATATGATTCTTCCAAGACAGGATGCTATCAGTATTTATTCCCAGAAATTTAGTGCAATTGATGTTAGTAATTAATGAGTTGGTTGATGTAATTTGAATTTATATTTCTCTATGCATTCTTAAAAAGAATTGTAAGAAATGTATTTCATCACAATTTAGAGTTAAAAAGTTCCTATTAAATCACATCATTGTTTCATTGATAACTGAAATAATATTACTTCTAAATTCTTCAGGACTCGAATTAGATATAATAATACTTGTTATCCGCAAATAATGTAGGTTGAGCTAATTTCTTTAAGGAAAATGGGAAATCATTTATGTAAATAAGAAATAATAGTGGTCCCAATATAGAGCCCTGTGGAACTCCATGTTTGACCTCCTCCCATTTTGAAAACACTTTATTAAGTTAATATCTTTCATAATTGTTCTTTGATATCTATTTTGAAGGTATGATGTCATTAATTTGAGTGCTGTACCCGAGATTCCATAAAAGTTCATTTTCTCCAGGAGTACATTGTGGTTGACACAATCGAAAGCCTTTTGTAAGTTGCAAAATAAACCACCCACATAATTTTTTTTTTGTCTAAGGAGGTCAATATATTATTTAGAAGATTATACATTGCCATTTGGTGGATGATTCTTTTCTAAATCCAAATTGTTCCTTAACCAAGATATTGTTCACATTTAAATGGGAGTACAATCTTTTATAAATAATTTTTTCAATGATTTTAGAAAAAGTTGGAAGAAGTGAGATAGGTCTGTAATTAAAGACTTCAGCAAATAAATAATAAAGAAGTTATATATTATAACACAACAGGATGCATGAAATGGAAATTATATTAGGATAAGTTAGAGTTAGGCTGAGATTGGCACATCAGACCACTGCTCATTGACCTGTACATAGGGGCGAAGGGTAGTTCAAGTTAAGTTAATTGGCACATCCACCTCCACTTTAACGTTTTTTTTAGGATTCACAAAATATTGACATTTTTAAGTTCTAAAAATTATCACATTTTTAATTTGTGAACATTTTGAAGTTTTTGAAAACTTAAAAAATTTTAAACTTCATGAAAACTTTCTATTTTTTCTAATTTTTTTTTAAAATGTCTTTAGTAAATAAGGTGAAATGTAAGTCCTGCCGATTTTTTACTCTTCAAGCTGTAGACTACTTTAATCATTTCAGTCTCTGTTATTTCTGGTAGATCAGATTAATCTTTTTGGCTTATTGTATTATTACTAGTTTTTGGTGGATTAAGTGTTTGTCAAGTAAGAGTTTATGGTTTCTAAGAAGGTAACATTGAATATGTTACATGTTCTACGTGGACTTGGAGACTGTTTCATTTTCCACTTGTAGGTGTACATTATAAATCTGTGAATCATTCAGGGAGTCTTTTTCTCTATATAATAATTTCCACAGTACCTTATTAGTATTTTTTGCATCCTTTGCATCTATATGCACTTTGGAGCCAAGCTTGGATTGGATTAAGTTAGGTCAGACTAGTTTCGGTTATGTTTGTTCTAGTGCGAAGGAGTACTGGATGAGGTACTACATGAGTGATAGCGCCATGTAGTATGAATCTGTTTCTTAAGCTCTCCACCTGTCTAGATTCACATGATGTTTTCATTATTGCTGATATGCACATTAATGTTGAGTGTTCTTTTTATAATTGTATCAGAAGCATTATTAGTATCCATCATTGGTATAGATCATCAAAATGTCTCTCTACGATGATATGGATGCCATCAAACAGAAGTCGGAGCAGGTGGCTGGTTGGTCATCTGGCATCAAGCTCCTGCAATCACAGCTGCAGCTGAAGAAGGCTGTACAAACGCAGGTAATGTGACGTACTTGTCCGTCATATTGTTACATGTAGAAAATCTGTGGGTTTAAATTTCAGACGTAGATAGCTTGATGAGCATAAATTTTGTAATAAATAATGGTGATAATGTTTGTAGAATTGTTTCATATGAATCTTATAAGCAGCAAAATTGAGTAAATATGAAACATAAATAAAGCATGAATTTGTGACCATTTTAAATAGATGTTTTGACAGTGACATATTTATCTGACTTGTTGGAAAGCATTTTCCTATGTGACAGGCAGTTGCAAGACTAAGAAAGAGGAACACGCACAGACTGACTTGTCAGTAAAGTTAGAGAATAACATTTATGTATATTCTTTTAATCATGCCTTAGAATGAATATGCTGACTGTTCATATCACACAGTTATACTGTTTGTTGCAACAGCATTTTACAGTCATTGTTAATATTGTCAAAAAAAAAGCATCCAGCACTACCAAAAACAAAACTGTGTTATGGTGGTGTGTGTTATGTCATGTGATGTCATGTCATATGCGATCTAAGTACAACTTTGATTGTTATTGCAGCCAAAACGGGAAGCCATGCGAAAGTCTGGTGTGACACTGGCCCCTGTGATAGATCTGAAGTCCAAGAAAGATGATGAGGATTCAAGCTCAAATTCCAGCTTTGGGAATTACAATTTAGGAAAGGTTAGTTTCTCAGATACCTGTAAATTCAATATGGGAATAATTTACTGGTTCTGTATGACTGTGGATGTTGTTTTGCAATGTTGGCAGGATGCACGAGGGATCCCCAGAGATACAGAATGGAACTTTGAAGGAGAGTATGATCCCATGTGGCCCAATGACTATGAGAAGGTTGTTAAAGGTGAGACTATGTTGAACTAAGTTGACTGAACACAAATACTTAATGACTGCAGGTTAAATGTCTTTGTTACAACTCGTTTAATCACAAGCCTGCATTATCCCTAATATAGTGTTTTCATGTGTATGGGGTGACTATAGACATGGTTTGAATTTGTGAATGGATTTACTGACCACTTATGCACACCACTTAGAACTACCAGTAATTACAACTCTGTTGCTGAGTTTCATGCTTTAAAAATCACCACACGCTAACTCATCTGTAGCCTGCAGTGTCTTCACTGGTCGTTGCTTGGTAACAGCACTCAACAATGAAGATTCTTCAGCTTCTGTGCTCATATCATTGCTGTCTGTTGAATATCCCACATCTGAAATGTCAACTGAACTATAGCACCTCCTCTCCTCAGCCTCCCTGGCAGAACTCAACTCTCAACTGATTGGGTCAATTCAAAGTCAGAGTTACTTTACAACTCGTGGTTTACTACCAGTCAGTTTGTCTTGGCGCCAAGCCCTTTGAGACTCGCAGACAGTGACTCTTTTCAACTGAACCCTTACGGTTATACTCCTTATGTAACATCCTCTTTGACAAGAAGATGGGTTTGTCTCTTATGAATATGCTTCGCCTTTTGTCAAATGTACGTATCGCATATATACTCATAGCATGTTATTGAAAATTCTTTCTTTTGCACTATACAGGGTGTCCCATGTGTTTGGTGCCATACTTCAGGAGCATACTGAGAGATCCCTATAGAACAACTTTGAAATAGGAACCTATGTCTGCAAACGTAAAATAGCAGCGCTAGGACGGCATTTAATATCATTTTGTTTAAACTTGGTGCCTCAATGTCGAAGAGCATGCACAGGCATATTACCCCCTCCAAACTCTTAAGACTCACCTGCTAGAGTAGATGTTGGAATTGGCGCCCTCCATTTTCAATGCATGCATTACATCACCGAAAGAAACCCTTTCAAATATTTGAGGTGTCTCAGGGATCATGTCACATGCAACAAGTATTCTGGCCAACAGCTTGAATTCATTATCCACAGGCATGTCGTAGATCAGGCTTTCACATGGCCCCAGACGAAATAGTCCAGAGGTGTCAAGTCTGGGGATCGGGTTGGCCAAGGCACTGGGCCTCCTTTTCCTATCCAACGACCAAGAAAAGCAGCATCCAGGTAGTCTCATGATACAATGCTGAAGTGTGCCGGCACTCCGTCATGCTGTATCCACATGGCAAATCTTCTAGCAAAGTCGGAAGGATATGTTCCAGGAACACCTTGTAAAAGGGCCCATTGAGTTGTGGTGGTAGGAGGAAAGGCCCAATCAAGTGATCGCCAATGATGCCCGCCCAGACATTGACAGAAAATTGCGCCTGGTGGTAACCAACTACAGTAATGTTGGGGTTTTCATCAGCCCAAATGTGGCTGTTTTGACAGTTGAACCAGCCATCCCTTGTAAACTGCACTTCGTCTGTGAATAACACGTGATTCAGGAAGTTGGGCTAATGTAAACACTGGTTCAGTATCCACTGACAAAATTGAATTTTTGGTATGAAGTCAGCTGGATCTACGTCGTGTACTCACATTGGATGATACAGATAAAGTTGTTGGTCATGCAGGATCCTCCAAACACTTTATTTTCATGTCCCCACAATCTAGGCAATGGCATGAGTGCTGGTGGATGGCTGTTATTCTGTGCAATGCAGTTCGACATTGAGGCGCCAGATTTAAACTAAATGATTTTAAATGCCTCCCTAGTGCTGCTATTTTACATTTGCAGACATGGGTTCCTATTTCGAAGTTATTCTATAGCGAACCCTTAGTACGCTCCTGAAGTGTGGCACCAAACTCCTGGGACATTCTGTATACAAGTTCTCTGTCAGTACAGGCTTTGCAAAGCAGATCATGTCTATCATATGTATGTATCTTATGCTACAACAGCATCTTAGTCATTGCATAGCAATGGCTGTACATGCTGCAGTATTATCCATATAATTGGAGATGATTTATGGCTGTATGTGTGTGTGTTATGTGACTTTGTATATATTATGTTCTCATCCTGTACTATTTTATTCATACCTACAGGTGGCTGCTGTGTTCAAAACTGTATCATCTGTTTTTCATAGATTTGCTTATTTGGAGAACAGTACAAAATTGAATTATAATTAACTTATATTCTTGTAAACCAAGAGACATCAGATTTCACAAGTGTGAATGAGATAAATATTTTCTTTAACGAAATATATGATGGCCTTCTTTCAAAAGCCATACATGCACCAAAAAAAAATTTACTTCTGATGCTGTTAGAGTTAGTAGTCTTGTGACAAAAACCATTCTGAATATTAACAAGATGTTATTTTATAAATATAACAGTTTGGGGTGAGTCAAATGAAAACCTTAAATTTGTAATAAAAAAATCGAAATTTTGCGCCATTATCCTGTAAGTTGGTAAGCTTGCTACATACAGCGTGCAGAATGGCCTGTAGGTTGCAGGATAGTGCAGATGCATGAACACTGTCACAGCACCAGTATAAGATGGCTGCCCCACTTGAGACTTGCACCAGGGAAGAACAGCGTTCTGTTATTTGGTTTTTGTGTAGTGAACATGTGAAACCTATTGAAATTTATCAAAGAATGAAGTTTCAGTATGGTGATGCATGTTTGTCACAGCAGCAAGTGTACGAATGGAGTAGGAAGTTTGCAAATGGTGTGACTTCAGTGGAAGATGCTCCTTGTCCGGGTCAGGCACATCAAGTTGTGACTCCAGAGAACACTGCAGCAGCTGAAGCCATAGTGAGGGAAACCCGCCGAGTGACATTGAATGAAATTGCAGCAAATTTAAACATTAGTCATGGTTCAGCACACCACATTGTGCATGAAGTGCTCCAGTTTCACAAAGTGTCTGCAAGATGGGTGCCATGGCAGCTGACTCCTGAATTGAAAGACCGACGTATTGATGCTTGTGAAGAACTTCTGCGGCGTTTTGAACGAGAAGGTGATGACTTCCTTGCAAGAATTGTTACTGGGGACAAAACCTGGTTTCACTTCCACCAACCGGAAACGAAGAGAGCGAGCAAGGAATGGTGCCATTCCTCATCTCCAAAACCGAAGAAGTTTCGTACACAACCATCAGCAGGGAAGGTTATGCTGACTCTCTTTTGGGACTAAAAAGGCATCATCTTGGAGCACTACATGCCTAGAGGGACCACTGTCACCACTGCATCATACTCAGATCTCCTAAAAAATCATCTTCAGCCTGCAATCAAATCAAAGAGACGTGGATTGCTGTCCACAGGTATCCTTTTGCAACATGACAATGCAAGGTCCCATACTGCCCGTACAACAGTTGCGACAATCAGTGACCAGCATTTTGTGTGTCTTCCTCATCCGGCATACTCACCAGACCTTGCCCCAAGTGATTTCCATATGTTTGGACCACTCAAAGAAGCAATGGGATGAAAGACATTCCGTTCTGATGAAGAGGTACGCCACGTGGTGCATGTGTGGTTGCGTGGACTACCAAAAGAATTTTTTTCTAAAGGAATTCATGCATTTTGTAAGCACTGGAGGACTTGCATTGAGCGTGGGGGAGATTATGTTGAAAAGTGATACAGCTTTGTACCACTTGTGCACAATAAATAATACCAAAAAAATATTTAAGGTTTTCATTTGACTCGCCTATGTATATTCAGGAGGTTCTCGGTTTGAATCTTGGTCAGGGCCCATGGCTATTGTGACAGCATTTTCATGGTTTTTCTGTCATTCTGCCATCTGACTCTGTGATACATCCTAAAATGAGCCACGAAGAAAGACAACTGGCAAACCATCATAGTTAATAAAATTTAATTAAGTATAGGCATGTGTACAAAATTTGAGGCTATTTCTGGACATTTTCTGTCTTGAAAATGACTCATCTTCTTTATTATCATGTCAGTTAAGCGTGTTAAATGTTTCTGCTGTTATTGGTATATATTTGTATTATTGGCAGACCTGAGGGAGATTCGTGATCGGGAGAAAGAGAAAGAAGAAGAGGAAAAGCGACGGAAGAACCGGGAGGACCGTGATCGACGAGTTCGAGATAGGTGTGTGTTGTAACCCCTTTATGGTTGCACTAATATGTTAGCAGTGCAACTTAGCCAGCGCACTCATTACGTGCTAGCTGTTGTGTTTCTGTTACACTGCTTAGGGATACAGTATTTTGCTGCACTGTTCTTTATTATGAAAGTTTGTCAAGTCTGAGTGTAGTGGTTGTTGTATTGTGCATGTTAGAAAATTTACCATTTTTATTGTGAAATTGGGGGTTGGTAAGGAAATTAGAAATGATAATGAGCCAGGATAGTCAGGCAGGGATTGCAGTGGTTGTTGACTAGCTGTATCAGTGGGCCGCGCTACTGGGATGTGATGCCTGTCAGCATTCAGGATTTTTCACTTTGGCATCAAATCCACACCACCTCTTGGGTCACCCACCTTGTATGCATTTGCTACCAGAGAATAAACTTTTGGAACAAGAAATTGACCCCTCATCTCCATCTGTGGCCAAGCTTAACACTTTGCGGACCGCGCACCCTTTAAAAGGTTTTCGCTTTTAAACATGGCGGACCATTCGCGTGTTAACAGGTTTTTAGAACACGATAAGTTGCAACACACTATACTTCGCTCTGGCGCCACCTGCATTGCACACAACCAACTGCAGATGCGTGATAAGACTCTGGAATGTTTAGTTAGCAGTCAGTAACTTGACCTCGCTGTTTCCTTAACCGACTATAAAGGAAAATAAATGCTTTGAATTCTTCAAGCTGTGTGTATCAGTCAGTAGCTAGTGGGGAGAATGGATCAACGACAAATTCTCCTCTGATGACCTAGCTGACCTGCCTTGTGAGATGTGTAGTAATGGGTTGCCATTCAGACAGCGACAGTGACGGAGGACAACAAAGAATTGTGGCCACAGACAGTAAAAGTGACAGTAGCTCCGACGATAATGCGGGTAGTAACATTGCGGGGACAGCAAAAATCTAGAAAAAATCTAAACCCTGATTCAAAATTGAAATACAAAGCAATTCTGATGAATGTGGCAAAGGCCTGGGCTACAGTCCAGATGGTGGCGGCATAACCAGGGTCACACAAAGACTTAGTACGACCAGGCCCATCAACTCCCACCCCATGAAGGCCTCATGTGGACCCTCCAGGGCGACTCTTGAGTGATATGCAGAAAAATACCCTTGTGAAAATTGTGAAGAGTGAACATTCCAAGGGGAAGAATACTTGTAGCCAATGCCGTGTTTGCACAGTTCACAAAAAAAAGGAGTATGTCTACATTTGCAAGTTCTGTGTAATGCCACTTCACAAAGGGGAAAGTTTCCAGAAATATCACACCCTCAAGCACTTCTAGGAGCATTGGTAAGTGTTCTCCAAAAATTTTAGTTCAGAAAATTAATTAGGAGATTTTATATTAATTTTTAAAGTGAACAGTGCACAAGTTAGGGTAGTATGTTTAAAAATGCCAGTCCCCAGGGTGATTTAAATATTTAAATCACCAGTCTGCGAAGTGTTAGAATGTGTGAACTTGTATCCCCAGGTTCCATATTCACCTGCATTGTGCTTAGGCATAGGGATGTTTGTACCTTTGTATTATATATAATGGCAATACATATTCTGTTCTGTACCTCATAATGTACTTCTTAAATGAAATACTGAGATGCAGCAGTTGCAGTGATAATGACAGCGACTGCACAGTTTCAAATATTAGAAGAATATGATCTTAATAGTTTTTATTAGTGAAATCAGTACTTCCAGAGTTTTTTTTAAGAAAAGGGCACATTCTTTTAAAATATAATAGTTCTGTTTTTGTGAGCTGTGGTCAACATTAGATTTTTTTTAATGAGCAGTATACAATGATTCTTCTCATTTCAAGTGATACTTAATTAACATTAATCTGGTTTTGATTAATTTTACACTTCTTCAATGGTATGAATATGTGAAAGTTCCATTCGGAGTTGCAGGTTTAGGATATCGTATGGGTATTCATATTTCTTATTTCAAAATGCATTGTAGTTGAATATTTTGTTTGGTGGAATTTAGAGCTGTTTATGACCATTAGTGATCTTTATAGTTAATAATGTGACGTGCCGCCAAAAAGGACAGAAGTCACGTCCATTGATAGGCAACGGCTGCGATAAGAATGTATACTTCAGTGGACACGCAATACCAGCAGACCATTGCATAGGAATCGCCCAAACAACAAATATGTTTCCCTGGAAATGAAATGATATTGATGGAAATGAATACTGCCAGTGGATAAAACCGAACCCTTTAACACGATGTTCACTAGTCGGTCCAAGTGCATGTTATAAAAGTCCAGCTTGGACAAGAACAGTCAGTTTTTAGCAGAAGCAAGTTCGCATCCGACAAAGGACGGAATACACTTCACCAAGGTCAGTGGTGCAAGTAATTGTGATTTGCTAGTGGGGGGTGGAGTCCAGCTGGGTCCACTCGGCATGGCGGTCACTGATGGGCCTATTGTACCTACCCCGGGTGATTATGATGATGGAGAATTTGGTGGAATGAAGATTGGCAGGGGAAATTGAAGTACTCGGAGAAAACCCACCCCAGTGCCACTTTGTCCACCACAAACCACTTGATCGGATCTGGGATCAAACCCGGGCCGCTGCGGTGGGAAGCCAGCGGGTAATTGCTTGAGCTATGGCACTGCCAAAGTAATTGTGATAGTGAATTTGTGAATAATTCTACTTGCGAGAGTAAAAGAGATTGTCCAATAAACGTCTTGGCCAAATCCGAGACCCATGTGAATTTACTTGTCGCGTTACATAGGTGACACATGACAATAGTTTTGTACTCTTCAGATTCAGAAATGGTATTGGCTACAGAATGTGATCTTCCACCTTAATTGTCACAGAGTTCTTGTTTATGTTAGGCAGTGTGATGAGTTTGCTAATAAATACTTGTGGTAAGTTTATAGTGCTGCTGTATATTGCAGGTTTGATGGCAGTGATGAACGCCGTAAATCTGGTTTTCCGGGCCGCAAGGATTCAGATGAGGAAGAGGAGGAAGAGAAGCCAGCGGCCAGGGTAGGGGGTGTGGCCATAGCTCCTCCTCCCTCACTCCAAGAACCCACACCTGCCAGTGAGAGTCCTCGGCCATCTGCTTCTCCTGTGTCTGGAGAGAAGTATGGTCTTTCTTTTGGAGGTTCAGTGGCAGCGAAGATTATGGCAAAATATGGCTTCAAGGTTAGAGGCAGTGAATTGGGTTATATGAATTTGCAATTCAGACTGTAAAGCAGGCCTCTGCTTTTAACCAGTGGACATTGATACTTCTAGGTTTGGAGTTTAAATATTTCATTTTGGTAGATTTTGGACTGTTCATAAATATTGTTATTCATTCCACTTTGCACAGTGTTAAGAGGGGAAAGAATACATTCATTTGTTCATTTCCATCTGTGTGTATCAAAAAGATTTACTTTGAATGCCACTCCTTTTACTAGATTTAATCTTGATTCTTATTATCTCTGGTATCAAAGTTTAATTTTTAATTGAAAAACTTGGGTTGCTGCTTCACATGAAATCCCAGTTTTTGTACTTAAAAAGATTGTCATGTTTTAAGATTTTGATTAAATTTAATATTGGGACCTTTTAATAAAATTCAAGATCAAGGTGCTTTTATACACATTTTAGCCAATTAGGATTGCTGTGTCACTTGTGGGCTAGAATTAGTTTTTAATATAGTTTTAATCTGAAAAAAAAAATTTCTCACATTTTAAAATTTCGGGTGTCATCTTGTATCATATTTAGATGTAATATCCCCCTCACAACATTTATTCTTTTGCAGTTAGAGGCTAAGACCATATGGCAACACTAGACCAATGTATTAGCCAAATTCACATTTCAGACCACATTGTGAACTGGGCCCATCCAAGAGTACTAGCCTAATATTCAGTCTGAATCATCACTACTGATTAATAAAAGAAAGCATAAACACACAGCTGTCAGTATAATGACAACCAATCAACTGATATCTGAAGTAGAGCCAACTACAAAAAGGTCATATATTTCAAATATGCAAGCAATGTCCAACCTCGTATTCATTTAATGAATCCGCCACTGTCACAAACCTTCAGAGAGCCATGGAAGTTGGCACTAATGAGATAGTGATGTTCATTTTGATTTCATTAAACATCTGTAAAACTCATAATGCCTTTATTTCTATATGAATATATACAAAGAAAACTGAATTTCTATGTATTCAGTTGACATTTTTGTTGAATTTAATTTTGTAACAACAGAAATATAAAGTCCTATATCTGTGTAGAGAATTTGACAAGGAATGCTAAATGAACCCTTTAATGAAATACAAGGATGAATGTTAACATGTCATGTTATGGGACTGATTCACAGTTCTTTGGTGGTAGTGCAATAACTTTTGTGACTATGGTAATTGCACATTCCATAGCAATATCATAATATCAGGACTGTTATGCAGATAAAACTACAAATCAATTTTGTAAATTGTAGAACTGTCTGCATGCAGTTAGTTAGCATCCTTGCAGTCTTGTAAGAGCTTTCTCATCTCACGTATTTGAAACAGAGTATCTTCATGTCAGTCCTTAAAAAAGTTGCTTCCTCTAAAATAGTGTTTCCTTTTGTGCTTGCTTGCATATATATTTGCTTGTTTTTTCCTGTTAGTATAAGCTAAAAAATCAATTATTGTGTTTCTGTATATTATCCAGTGGCTCTTTTTATTTAAAATGCACAATATTTTGGATATTCTGTCTCTGTCTTTAGGTGGTACCTACTCAGTTGGACACAATCAATAGAGCTAGTCCCTATCTCCAGACACCAGCACCAACACGAGATAGGATATATAAACCAAGCAGAGCATAAACCATCAGTGAGAGTTAAGACAGGCATTAAAATCACTAAAGCTCCACATATATAAGGGCTAGCACCTATGTTCCTGCACTGTTTCATGGCTATTGTTTTTAAAACCAGAATACTATCAGAATAGAAGTCATCACTAAAGAGCAAATTGTATGGTACCAACATAAAAACACAATTTTCACACATAATCTGCACTGGATGGAGTTGTAGTTTTCTGACTTCTGCTGTGATAATGGAAGTCCAGATGGGAGAGATGTCCAGGCTGGGTTGATTGAGCAGATGATATACCAGAGACGTGTGGGCAGATTACTTTTATTTCCTGTAGGTGGTCTTTGGTTCAATCTGCAGGACCTTTGCCTCTTTCTAGCATATTTTGGGGATGGTTGATGTCCAGAAACAAAATAATTGTATTCATGTACCATCATCACAGACTTTTAGAACTTGTTTACAAAACATTCCTTGAGCAGACGCTGATATGAGGAACTTTAATTCAATCCACATCATTATAGTCTACTTCGTTGGGTTTCATTTCTTTAATATGTCCATGCTATTCCCTTCCAATACACACTTCTGTTGTTTGCCTATGAATGCTGCTTGTTAACTGTAATAGCATTGTTATGAAGGAGTGGGAACCCAACTGAAGCCTGAGTACTGCCCCTCATGCTTCCTTGGACCACCAGCACATGCTTGCCATGTGTGCAATAATGCATGTTTGATTTTGAAACAGGAAGGTCAGGGCTTGGGAAAGCAAGAGCAGGGTATATCCATGGCACTGCAGGTCGAGAAGACCAGCAAACGTGGCGGTCGCATCATAAGTGAAAAGGAGATTATGCCTCCACCACCTGTAACATCACCAGGCTCATGCTCACCCAATGCCTCACAACAGCAGAGCACTGGTGCCCAGCTCAAACCAGAACCAACCATCACAGAAATCATGCGCAGCCCATCTAAGGTTGTGTTACTTCGTGTAAGTTATAAGAAACATAATTATTCTTTTTAAAGTAATTTGGCACTTCAGAAATCATGATATTGGAGAGCATCCTGGATTCTTGCTTCAACATTACTAATAAGGTGGCCTTGCTATACTAAGTTTGAAGAATATATAGTATTGTTAATAATCTTTTTGCCAAAAATATAAAATAAAAATATAATAACTACATGAAGTATAGATTTACCTTCTGTCTTGCAGGTTTCAAGATAATTAAACGAAAGAGATGTTATGAGTACATTTTCATATTCCATAACCAACCATGGCCTCCAGAACACAATTGCAAAAAAGGGGAGGGGGAAAGAAAGCAAAATAGATTCTTTATTGATTGTACACTGCATTAATCTTATGTTTTGTTCTTTTAATGTAGTGCACTATTACAACTTTGGAGCAAATTTATATATGATTAATTTTAATTTAGTTTGTATAATAACAGTAAACATTCAGGCCTTAAGACTCTTTATTTTGCTAGCATTCTTGTATAATTTTGACTTCTTGCAAATTTGAATAAGAAACAACATACTGTGAATAGTTGCTTGTGAACTTAATGTTTGTTGCAAGGGAGAAGTTCATCATATTCATTTCATTTATGATTCCTTCTGTGTAATGCACCTGTTTGGTGTACACTCAGTACTTTTATAATCTTGTTTAAATATTATTTTGTTTGGTTAATGTTTCACAGTCTATGTAGACCTTCCAGTAAAGCATCAATAATGGCCAACCAATATGATGTATGATGCCATTTAATTTTAACGAGATTCCCAGAATTACAATTTTGATGAAATTCATTTAAGGCGAGAGCTGCTGGGTGAACAAACATACTGTAGTATTGTAAATACTTTGTTGTAGAATATGGTTGGTCCTGGGGAGGTGGATGATGATTTAGAACCAGAAGTGAAGGACGAGTGCAACACAAAATATGGAGAAGTAGTGCGGGTTGTGATATTTGAGCAACCTAATGTGCCTAGTGATGAAGCTGTTCGTATCTTTGTTGAATTCCGTCGCATTGAATCAGCTATCAAAGGTGAGAGTTTTTAGTCAAGATTCTTAACGTGTAGCTTTTTTAAAATGACAAGAACAGTTCTTAGTATAATAATCAGGTAGAAAACTTCAGGCATTAGGTAAGTATGGAACTAGAGATGCATAACTTGCACTGTGTTCTGAAGCATTTATTTTTCTGCCTGTCTCACTGTATCTCCTTGTATTTGCCTATGCGGTGTGATCATATACTTTCCAGACTGGCTGTAGTATTAGGACAGCACTTCTTGCTATGTGAAGGTGGATTGGAATCTGTCATTTGTCATTCATTTGAAAGTTGTAACTTATATAAATCAGAAATAACACATTGTGAAGTAAGGTTGTATGTTAGGTCCTCTAATATCTATGTTGTATCAGAAAACAACAGATTGGACGGCTAATGCATTTTCATTAAATTCTGCATCAAACTAGACAGAAGTACTACAAAAACATGTGAGATGTTGGAATTTGCTTTTAGAGAAGAAACAATGAGCGAACTCAACATTTTATTGGTTTTCCCAGTCAAAAGATGAAGTGATATCAGGTGACAGTGTTTAGCATTTGGGACTTTTATTTATAAGCAAAATGAAGTTGTAGTATGAATCAAGGAACATGTTCATATAAATAGATGTGTCACTATCCACAGTTTGGCTGATGAGGTGGGACCCTCATTTGAATCATGTCAAAACATTTCGACACAAGACCTGAACATATTATGGAATGCTATAGATTCTGTGCCTCATCTGCTGATTGGTAAGTGAACACAGAATCATATCAGTATGCGTCACGACCTTCAGGCAAAACTTCAGAGACCCCCATAATTCCTCTTGAAGGTTAATCACATTTGACAAACCAAAGTTGGCACTAAATTGGAAGAGACTTGATGATATTAAATGAGAGGCTGCACTTGACAAAGTTCAAAACACAGGAGTTTTGGAAATGCTTCCAACACTGATACATTTTTTAGACTAACTGTATCAAGTTGAATGGGAACTACTTCTAAGTACTGATCACACTGCATATCTGCATATGTCTACATATGTAATGGAGTAAAATACAAATTTAAAGCATTGATGGAATAATTATTACATTGTTCTTTTTCAACAAGCATCACAGAAATGTTATCATTCAAAGAAAGTGTATGCTGCTTCCTCTGTTGATACATTGCTCAGAGAAGACCATTCTGGCAGCTGTAAACATTGTGCTTAAAGGAAAAATGAGACATACGCACAGTACTGAGTCAGGATGAAAGTGCAGCTTAGTGCACATCATTTTAGGTGCAAGGTGCACTGGGTGTTTACAAGTTACATTTCAATTATGAGACACCATTTTTTTTCAGAGATAGAAATGTATAGTATTTATTCATATATTTATGTGTTTAATGCTTTGCAGAATTTGATAGTTTACTTAAGAGAAATTTAGTTTTATGGAAACAATTAAGTAAATTATAGTAATATTTCCTTGTGCAGGTAGAGAAAAGTTGTCAAATGAAGGAATTTTCTGAATAGCCTTAAATGTATGTAGGTAAGTCAATAAGTAAGTTACAAATGGATATAGAATTTAAACAACTAAGAATACTGATTTGAAAAATGCTTTTATTTCTCAACATAATCCCCCTGTACATTGAGGCACTTGTCCCATCGTTTCACAAGCCCCTGAAAACCAGCAGCATAAAATCCTCTGGGCTGCTGTCGGAACCAGGTGGTTAGTGGGATCATGAAGGCATACAGCTCACCGCATTCAAGCCTCAAGAACAAACCATAAATGCCGACTCCTACTGTAACATCTTCAGGAAACTTCGTAAGGCCATTCAACAGAAGTGACCAGGACTCGCCAAAGGCATATTGCTCTTGCATGACAACGTGCGTCCCCATACTGCCAACAAGACAAATGAGACACTGCGAAATTTCAAGTGGGAAGTCCTCGAGCATCCTCTGTATAGCCCCGACCTTGCTCCAAGTGACTTCCATTTCTTCGGCCCTCTTAAACATCATCTTTCGGCTGAACATTTTCCTGACAATGGAGCTGTAGATAGGGAAGTCACCGCCTGGTTCCAACAGCAGCCCAAAGAATTTTATGCTGCTGTTTTTCAGGGGCTTGTGAAATGACAGGACAAGTGCCTCAATGTACAGGGAGATTATGTTCAGAAATAAAAGCATTTTTCAAATCAGTACTCTTTATTTGTTTAAGTTCTGTATCCATTTGTAACTTATTCATTGACTTACCCTCGTATATTCACTATCGTTCATTTAATTATTGATCTGTGTTGAAGATTATTGTCTCTTGGGATGTGACGCTGCATGGTTTGACAGATGAGTAACAAAACATTTGAATGGAACCTAATGCTTCTGTCTTCTGCCCTGAAGATGGAAGCAGCAGGTTCCCTTGAAATGTTGGTATGTATCCACCAAATTATGGCATTACATTGATTGATTGATCATTACATAGTAGGAGTCTTTTATGAGAATGTCTCATCCCACATTGATGTACATTGTTTAACTTTGTTGTATTGTATAAGCCAGTGTTTGTTCCAATTCTTAGTCAGGGGCTTTTCCCACTGAAGAATTCTTCTGATATGTTGTTTTTTTTTTTTTTAAATGCAGTACTCAATAACTGATTTTAAATATTTCATTTCAGCTGTAGTGGATCTCAATGGGCGCTTTTTTGGTGGACGTCAGGTGAAAGCAGGCTTTTACAGCTGGGAGAAGCTGAATAACTTAGAGTTACTAGATTAATTCATTACAGACCGAACTGTTTTATATATATATATTGAGAGATACAAGTGACTGTGTATATGTTTATATGGTTGTCCCTGTTCAGATACTTTACTAGTGAGAATCTCACTAGGTCAAGTTCTTTATCACTCTTTATTGAAGTGATGATTTTTATCACATGTGATGTTGCCAGTGGTGATCCTGGTCATAAGTATGGAGACAGTGGTGACTGAACTTCATCAAACTCTATTCAGCGTAGCTGTGGGAGATGAAATAAAAGTGATGTTGCAGGATCCGTGGTTGTATCTAAAGGATCTCGCTAGGCTTTGTGACTTTATATGGTATCTTATATTATTTCTGTTTCATCTCTTATTCACACACAAGTTCTATACAAAAATATGCAACTATTTTCATGGCATTTATTTTTTAAGCAATAAGTGTACAGCTATGAAAAACATATTGGGGCCCTGAAAATATTTGTTTTCCTGCATACCATTCTTGTGGATCTGAGCAGCCATCTTCCTTGCTACCTGTCTGGATAACTGAATCAGTTCCTCTGGCTACACACTTCAACCCTCAAGATGGAGGCACTATGTCAAAATCTTCAGTATCTGCCTATGAAACTACATGGTGTCACAATGCAAAAAACCTCAGTCTGAATTGTGGAGTGTTAATGCCAAAACTTCAGAACCATTGATTGTAAATTAAAATTATGTATACTGTATTAAATTCAAGGCATGCAGTCGGAATCAAATAATTTCAATAAAACTTAAAGAGGCAATTTTTATACATGTTGGGTTTTTGGAGTCTAGCGCTCAAAGGCCTACTGATGCTGTTTTAAGTCCACAAAACATATAATTTTGACTGCAATGGAAAGATAATCATCAGTGGGGAAGAGGTGAGAATTTGTAAGTTGATGTTTTTCAAAGCTCTGTTACTGCAAGAACTCCTTGTTATAGGTGAATTAAAAGAATTTGATTTAATTTTAATATGCTTAACTAATTTAAACAGACTTAATTTACAGCCCTCACTTCAATGCAGATTGCTTGCCATCTGGTTGAGGGGCAAGAAGTGTGTGGGTGGTGGAGGAAGAATGCAGACTAAGAAAAGAACATATGGTCTAGCTGTATAACCTTTTCTGCACATATTTTACAGTCATTCTTTGAGGGGATAAGAAAACCCCCAGTCCAGTATTTCCTCGTTTGATTATGAGATTCTTTTGGAACAGAATTGTCACATAAATCAAGGAGTACCTTTACTCATAATTTCAGGATGCTACCTTTCATGACTGTTCTGTCTTCCACTGAAGACGTTTGTATGGTTTCCATGTTTACATTATTGATGGTAGGTATGTAATAAATACAGGTTAAGTAACATCTGATGGCATGATGTTCCTACCAGGTCATATAATAATCTGTTGTAGTGAATATGACTAGAATTAGGGCATAGTTTGCTGTAATGAGCCTGGACTGACAGAGGCCTTGTATATAAAAAATAGTAACTGTAAACTTGTAAATAACTGTACATGCTGACAGTGGACTAATACTATCGAATTTGAGAAATGACAGACGCGACCTCTTGTTAGAGAGGGCACCACACATGGACAGGACTGTATCTTTCATGCAAGAGGAAACATCTGGTCATGAGTTCCAGCTGGGGCTCGACACCAAGACGGACATACTGACTGTCAGTCGCAATGTGACTTTGACCTGTTATCATCCTCTAAACCACTGTAAAACATAATACATTTACATAGCTCAACTCAGTCTGCAGTACATCTAGTTCTAAGAATATTATATTTAAGCATCCTGTTGCACTCCATACGATAAATGATATAATGATACAAATTCCGTCACCAAGTACAAACAATATATTATGTGTCCTTGATCTTGTTCACCTACACTACATGTTTCGGCCTCAGACGGCCATCATCAGGTGTATAACACTCACGTCGCTGTCACACTGCACTCAGCCCAAAATTTAACATTTAAAACACTTTTCTTGTTATTATCAACATGTTGATAATATATATATAAGTCAATAAGTAAATTACAAATGGATATAAAACTTAAACAGATAAGAATACTGATTTGAAAAATGCTTTTGTTTCTCAACATAATCTTCTTGTACACTGAGGAATTTATCCCATCGTTTCACAAGCCCCTGAAAACCAGCAGCATAAAATTGATATGAAGCACAGGTTCTATGAAGAATTAGAACATGTATTTGATAAATTCCTGAAATACCATGTGAAAATTTTGTTAGGAGATTTTGATGCCAAAGTAGGTAGGGAAGAAATTTCCAAACCAAGGATTGGGAATGAGAGTTTCTGCCAAGGAGACTCTAGGTTATTATGAACTGAAGATGCATAAGCCACGGTTCTATGAAGAATGCTCAAAATTATTAGACCAAAGAAAACAAGCCAAATTACAGCAGTTACAGGATCCAAACGAGTTAAGTGGGGATAATCTGAAATATATAAGACGTGAAACAAGCAGGCATTTCAGGAATAAAAAGAGAATATCTGAAAGACAAAATTGTTGAGCTCTGTAAGAACAAGAACATTAAGAGACCTGTATAGAGGAATAAATGACTGAGAGGGGTTAACACCATAGAAGTAACTTAGTGAAGCATGAAAATGGTGATCTGCTTGCAGATTCCTACAACATTTTGAATAGGTGGAACAACTACTTCTCTGTTATTGAATGTACAAAGGGTCAGTGATGTTAGGCAGATAGAAATACATACAGCTTTGCTCTTAGTACCTGGTCCTAGCCCTTTTGAGGATGAAATTACTATTGCAAAATTGAAAAGGTATAAATTGCCTGGTAGTGATCAAATTCCAGCAGAACTTATTCAGGCAGGAGGCTAAATATTATGTTTTAAGATCCACAGTCTAATTAATTCTATTTGGTGTAAGGAAAAATTGTCTGATCAGTGGAAGGAATCTACTATTGTACCAGTTCACAAGAAGGGTGATAAAAACTGACTGTAGCAATTATGGGGGGATATCACTGCTATCAACTTCATTCAAAATTTTATCCAATTTTCTTCTCAAGGTTAAGTTCATACATAGATGAAATTATTGGGGATCATCAGTGTGGGTTTCAACATTAGAGAACTACAGATCAGAGCTTTTGCATTTGTCAGATATTGGAGAAAAAATGGGAGTACAATGAGACAGTACATCAGCTATTCATAGACTTCAAGGAAGCCTATGATTCAGTTAGGAGGGAAGTATTGTACAATATTCTGATAAGAGTTTGGGATACCCATGAAACCAATCAGGTTGATTAAAATGTGCTTAAAAGAAATGTATAGTAAAGCCCGTGTAGGTAACATTTGATAAATTTCATATCCAGAATGGTCTTAGACAAGGAGATGCTTTATTGCCACTCCTTTTCAACTTTGCTTTAGAATATGCCATTAGGAAGGTCCAGGAAAACCAGGTGGGACTGAAATTGAATGGGACACATCAGCTGTTGGTCTATGCTAATGTGAATCTACAGGGTAATAATATAGATACCATAAAGAGAAACATAAAAACTTCAATTGACGCAAGTAAGGAGGTTGGTCTAGAAGTAAACAAAGGAAACTGTGTATGTATGTATGAAGGGGTAGGCCTACTCGGCCCTTGCACTTAGACCTCAGTGGTCCATTGTGCTTCCCCTTTTTAATTATTCCCTCAGGAACCCCACGCTTCGGATGAAGCACAAGATTTTGGACGTGGGGGCATCAAAATAGTCACTTGGTTCCATAAAGTACTGACCCAAGTGACGTAGTCATAAAGAAGCTAAAGCCTCACATTCACACAGGATTTGTGTGGCTGTTTCATTTTCTATCTGACACCTCTCACAAGTGGGACTATCACTTAGTCCAAGTTTGAAGAGGTGTCCTTTAAGGTGACAGTGTCCTGTAAGTAGTCCTAGCACCCATCGTAGCTGGTTCCTGTTGAGCTTCAACAGTTCCTTCGCTCTTTTATCAGCAGGTCCTCGTATGAGTCCCTTAGCTTGCCTGAGTCTAGTTAAGGATTCCCATTATTTCTTATGTTTTATGTTAGTCCAGTCCCTGATTGCCTGTTTGGCAACTTCAAGAGAGATGCCACAGGCTGGTTCAGGTCCTGTGAACGGATGTTCAGCTCCAATTTTAGCTAATTGGTCTGCTGCTTCATTTCCAGCAATACCCTCATTCCCCAGCACCCATATCAGTTGTACCCTGTTATGTTTGGCCAGTTCCATGAGGGTTGGTGGCAATCCCAGACCAATTTTGAATTGATCTGGTGTTTGTCAAGTGCTTTGAGTGCTGTTTGGCTGTAGATAGAATGTAGATGTTCCTATTTCTATAGTTCCTATCTAAATTCTCCATAATACATGCTTTAATGGCATATACTTCTGTCTGGAATACTGTTGTGTACTGCCCAAGGCTGAAACTAAGTTTCCGCCTCGTACCATGGCAGTACACACCAGCTCCAGTGCCTCTATGTGTCTTGGAACCGTCTGTATACGAGATCAGTCCCCGTTTTCTGTCGGGCTGAAACCCGTCTTCCCATTCACTCCTTTCAGGAAATCTGACTGTGAAGGGTTTTTCATATACATGTCTCAGTATCATTTTGTCAGACCCCATTTGTAATATGGGTTCTGTTTTCATGTCCTGAGTCATGTCTGCATGGTCGAAACCATCAGATCTAGGTTTGCATTGTCCACAGCACTGGAGACGGTAAATTCCTGCCCTGGCCTCTGCATCCAACTGCATATGCAGTGGGGGGAGTCCAAGGAGTATCTCCAGTGCAGCTGTTGGAGATGTTCGAAATGCTCCTGTAATACCTAAGCAAGCCAACCTTTGCAATTTGCCAAGTTCTGTCTTGCTTGTCTTGAATTTAACTCTGGGCCACCATACTGTGACACCATAAGTAATTATAGGTCTCACAACCGCAGTATATATCCAATGTACAACGTGTGGCTGCAGTCCCTAAGTTTTACCAAACATGCCCCTGCATGTCCAAAAAGCCTTATAGGCTTTGTTAATGACTTTGTCCAGTTGCTTTTTCCATGTGAGACCCTTGTCTAAAATTAGACCAAGGTACTTGACATCGCTGGAGAGCTGGGTTGTCTTATTGAAGAGAATCGGTTCCTTAAGACCCTTTACATTTCTCTTCCTAGTAAATGGTATGATTACCGTCTTGTTGGGATTGAAAAGGAAAGTAAGTATATGTTGCTGTCTCATCACCAAAATGTAGAGCAAAATCCTGACATAAAGATAGACAACAGATGTTTTGAAAATGTGGCACAGATCAAATATTTGGGAACGATGATAACAAACGAAAACTTTGATTCAGGAGGAAATTGAGAGGAGATTGGACTCGGGTAATGCTTGCTACCATTCAGTCCAGAAGCTTTTGTCTTCTCGTCTGCTGTCCAAAAACATAAAAATTAGAATATTCAAAACTATAATTTTGTCTATGGTTCTGCCGACACATCTGTACGAAAATTTGTATCTTTTCTTCGAATTTGAAATTTTTTTATAATTAGGAAAAACTTTCAATTCTCATTCTGTAAAATTATTTGCACAGTTTTGTATCTTGATTAAATTTTTCGAAACAATATAAACACCTATGTTTAAATTGCAAAGAAAGAACGGGTGCCCCCAATGTTTCCTTTTCGCCTGTATTCTCATCTTACGCCGTCTGAACCACCATAATGTCATTACAGGAACAATATTATTATCTGACATTGCAGAAGAGAAGTGCACGAAATTGGCGGGCATACACGCCCACTTGTGATGCGAATAACTAGTCGAACGTAAGTTTTTTCAGTGTGCGCCTGCTAATTTGGAAACCAATTGGCTGCTTGAAATCGGCGATATTTCTCGGAAATCGCCGTTGCGTTCGGCCTTAAGGAGACTGGCAACCGCAATTTCCGAGAATTGTTAACAGCCTGAGTGTCCCGGCTTCAACACGTGTTATTGAATGGAGATGTGAAAACTGAGGAAACTACATAGCCATTTTCTCAATTTTCACTGCTCCATTCAGTAAGATGTGTTCAACTCAGGCTAATAACAATTCTCGAGAATTGCGGTTTCCAGTTTCCTTAGTGGGTCATCAATCTAGTAACCGGTGACGACGGTAGTCTTGTGCGGTCGTACGTACGTGAGTGATGATGTTCGAGCGGTTTGTAAAAGTTAATGTAAATGTTTGAAGCGTGTATGGGTTAAAAGAACGAAATTGTTATTTTAAAATGTCTGTTACATATATGATGCGCTTGAAAATAGTTGCTTTTGTAGTTGTTTGTTTTTTGCTGTGGCAGACACTACGGCATTTCCCTTCTTTTTCCGAGTTCTCAAATCAGGTGAGTACGAAAGTAAGCTGTTTTGATGAGATGTCAAGTTTTGTGGGAATCTAATGTAAGTAAGTGTTTCTTCACTGTCTGAATTTAGACTGCTCAAAGAACGTTGGATAGTCATGTAAAATGCGTTGTAAAGTTGCGTGACTTCCACATAAGAGTTGTTGAAACTTGACAATTAAGAGACAGTATTGAGTTTTAAGTAAAATATTTATTCTCAATATTATTTCCCTTCTTGCGTTGTTATACCATGTGGATGTGGGCGATGTTGCCTAGGTTTCGGAGGTACATGCTGCCGACACCTTCAGGTTCCAAGTGTGTAAGATGTGCTTATTTGATTGTATATAGAATTCTATTTAGAAAAAAAATGGTGGGGGAGGTAATGGGGGGTTTGTGTCTTGTCTGAGCCAAGAGTTACAGTGGAGCAAGAAAGTTGGACCGCAGAGTGCATAAAAACATTGGCAACTAGTAGTTCATGAGCTGTCACCCATTAAAGTGCCCACCAGACATAATGCTGCATAATTTTCAGTTTTGTGGGTCAGTTGTCTGGGAAATCGTTATGGATTGAAGGTAGGTTTTGGCAGGGATGTGAAGGAAGGAGCATGAATCAGCCATAACTTGTTTTTAATTGACTATGTAAAATACTTGATATGAATGTAAGAAGAATGCTGTATTATGGTTTAATTTGTGCCCTTCTGGTATATTAAATCATTGTATGGGGACAGAGTGCAAAGGCACTAACCAGACGAATATTTATGCTTCAAATAAGGCAGGATTAAAACAGCTGGAATCAGGCAGAGATAATTCTAGGCAACTAAAGATATTAACAGTATACTCACTCTACATTCAAGAAACAATCATATATGCAAAAGAAAAGTATAACATGCACTATAAATAAGTACATATACGAGTATATAACACAAGAAATAATGACTAACATAGGTATGCCACATAATTTTATAACTTTAAACCATCAATAGCAGGTTGTATCTTCTATAATAGATTGCCTACCAACATAAAGCAAGTAAATAACAAGAACCAATTTAAAAAGCATTTGAATTACTTACTTATTAAGGGATGCTGTTATTCAGTAGAAGATTATTTTGATGAAGTCTGTAATATTGGCTACTGATAAACAAGTTGTATAGAATAATCTGTATTTCTAATAATTTTATACCATAATCATTAATGTATATTGATAATAATGTAGGTGGACATGTCCTATATCAATGTATTTTGATATACAGGATAAAATAAAAAAGAATAAATGAATGAAAAAAGTGTATCTTAGAAAGAAGGTTGATGAGCCTTGACAGAAGCAGTGTGTAGGCTGGGGTTTTCCCTTAAGAGAGAAAGAGAGTCTCATGTCTTGTATGGAGTTATAGCTCTTCCTTGGATATGGTATGGGATTTGTGTGAAAAGTATGTTCACGGCTTCATCTCTGTATGGATGACTTTCCAGGCAGGACTTAACTGGTAGCTGTCTTTGGTGTTGTCATGTAAGTTGATTTCTGGAGCTTCCCAGATAACTCTCCTGGCATAGTGGGGTTGGTTGGCTAATGCCATGGTGTCCTGAAAGTATATTTGGTGTGCCTGCTTGGTTGCATCCTCTGCCACCACCAGGTGTTCCTGATGATCACGAGAGAGACCCCTGGCTCTACCATTCAGGACACTTGGCAGTGGTAAGTCATTCACTTAATCAGGGACACTCGATATATTCTAAAGACACATGACATTATCCAGACAGTCTCGCTAAATCAGGAGAGTTATATGGGAAGCCATAGAAATCAAACTAGACAGCAACTTTAATAGAGAAGATGGCTACCAGTTAAGTTCTGCCTGGAAGATCATCCATACAACCAAGCAGCAGAAAGGACACCATGAGCATTCTCTCCCCACAAATCCCATGGCAGATTGAGCAATGGCTACAACTACTCTATAAGGGGGATCCCCCCCCCCACACAGAAAATCTTCAACCTACCCACTGCCCCTGTCTAAGGCAATGGATGAGGTATACCATTCATTCTTCTGTTTTCCTGTCTCTGCCAAAACCCATGGTGATATCCATGCCATTCTTCATGCCAGTTGACCCACAGCATAAAATGTCAAGTCACATTATGCCTGGTGGGCACTGAGATGTGTGAATGCAGAGGAACCTCAGTTATCAGTGTTTTTTATGCACTTCATGGCCATTAAAATGGCCAGTTGCAGAGCATTCCTGGTCTGTTGTCCCTATTGGCCCAGATGAGGCACGAACTCTCAGTCTCCCCTCCAAGTGTTTTAAAAACAGGATTTAATATGTACACAGAAACTCGCCCACCTTACACACTTTAGCCCTGAAGATGGAGGCAGTGTCACGCGCATCCATATGGTATAACAATTCAGAAACAGAAATAACATCAACAGTTAACTCTCATGAAAGCCAAAATTGGTAATATTTATTCTTGATGAGTGTACTGTCTTGAAGATATTTTTTTTGCACATTCCAAGACAGCCTATTGGTCACCCCCTAACCACCCTTAATGTCCTGTAGTACAGGAGTGAAAGTTTACAACTTAGGATTAATCTGAAACTTAATTAGCTCCTGGTACATAAATTGTTGTTCTTATAGAGTTTGAGTCACCACTGGGAAACTGTGGTGCCGTCAAGAGTGCCACCAATAATAGTAACTGTATTTTATGAAGCTCTTTGTCCAGACTCAAGAAGTTTTTTTACAAAACAGTTACTACCAACTTTTGAGAAAATTCCACATCTTATACAGGTTAATTTGGTGCCATATGGGAAAGCCAAGGTGAGTTCTTTAGATGTTATTATTTTATTTAGGTTATGTACTATGATTTTCAGAGTTAAACAGTTATTGTAACAAGTTTCTCATTGGACTGTGCATAATGATATATTGAACACTTTAGGCTGGTGTTGTGCACTTTAAGATTCTGTTCATCCCATGAAGATAGAAAGTAATTATTCTGTAGTACTTTGTAAGTATTCACATACTAAGTATAAATAAATGGTGTTGTAGCTTATTGCTATAGTGTAGTGTCTTTATGGTTATTACAAACAAATGGATAGAAACAGCTTTCATATTTACAATGTCGGTAGAATATCATTCTTTTTAGGCTGGAATTTAGTAAATCAGCCATTGGAAATATTTACTTTCAAAGGTTTTTGAGGACTTCCAAGATTCAGTGAAACACCATCTTTCATCTGTTACATGGGAAAATGATTCATGAAGAAAATTTAAACAAATTAATGTACACAACTATGATATTCTGCTTTCAAAGTTGGAACATTATGGGATTAAGGGAAGAGCAACGATGTAATTAAATCCTAATTATTAGGTAGATACCAGAGAGTAATAGTTGTTTCTGACTCAATTAAATTCTACTCTAAATTGGAGCCTATTACTGTTGGAGTCCCTCAAGGATCCATACTTGATCCCCTGCTTTTCCTTCTATATGTCAATGATTTGCCTAATGCCATAGCTGATGTATCCAGTCCAGTCTTCTTTGTGGATGATAAAAGTCTAATAATTACTAATCCTGATTCCCCAAGATTTGAAAAAGATATAAATATAGTTTTAGAAAAATGAAATAAATGGTTTAGTAGTAATTTATTACTACTAAATCCTGCAAAAACTTATTTTCTACAATTTGTAACTAAAAACACAAGAGATCTTGATTTACATATGCTATGTGGGAAAAAAACAAATAACCAGTGTCAATGTTACAAAATTTTTAGGTTTGGTTATTGATCATAAATTGTCATGGCAAACCCATATTGACCAAATGATACCCAAACTAAATAATGTTGTATTTTAGTGCCCTGTTGCACTAATTCCTATCCATAATGTGGGTATATATTAACCGTCTTTTAGTGCATACAATTTCACTTGTCACTTCACACTACATGTTTCGGCATCATTCTGCCATCCTCATGTGTATTAATCATGTTAAACCATTACACTGCCTGCCATCAAGTGTCCATTTATAAAATGACGTAAAATGTGTGTTCGTCGTTGTTCAATAATAAAATTTATATATTAAAACTTGTTAAGATCTATCATCTTACATGTCATATATCAAACTCATGTGTAATGCCATTCATCTGCTATGGGAGTCGTCGTCCTTATGTTTTAATTGTGTATATACTGTGTCTTATGATGTGTCTTTCTTATGTGGCTGCATGTGTTGTATTGCTGGACATATGTATAGCTATATAACAAACTCTGATGTCCACACCCATAATACCAGATATCTTCCAGTGGTAAACTTAACAACATTTCAGAAAGGTGGATGGTATTCTGGTATCAAACTTTATAACCACCTCCCTCCAGAGCTTAAACAATTATCTTACAGCATCCCTGGATTTAAAGTGGCGTTAAAGAAGTTTCTTATCACCAATTCCTTTTACACTGTTGAAGAGTACTGCTGCTGGAATAAAGATTGATCCCTCATGTATATTTAAATAAACACCGTTGCCTATTGGTAGGATGCAACAGACTATGTAATAAAGTACACAGGAGAAAGATACTATTATTGTTGTGATATAGATGTATTATATATTAAGAAATTAGATTTTATATAACTATACTAAGAGTCTTGGTGGTCTCTTGATCATGTATGTAATTTTATATGTTATTTTAATATATGGAATGTATTGTTGTACAGTAGTCTTGTATTGAGTATTTAAAATTTTGACGATGATGATGACTATCTGGTATGTATATTCATATGTTATATTGTATTGCTGACTTGTTCTATATCTGAGGCAGACACCTCCATGGATTTTGTAGAACTGTAAATAAATGAATGAATGAAGAAGTTGGTACCTATGCAGTATGTTGTAATAACCAAAGTGATCATGGATGTGACTGCAATAAGCATCTGGTCTGCCTTTTGATTGTTAAAAGTTTTATGTCATATTGACAAAACACTCTCAGTTGTATGAAAAATAGTGTCAAATATTGTATGGGTAACTGCATAAAGTTACAAGCATGTGTTTTCAGATAACTGCATAAAGTTGCAAGCATGTGTTTTCAGATCAGAGCATTAAAAGTACTGGTTCAAGATGACAGTTGCCAAGGAGTTTCATTAATTTGTCTGACTCCAATAAGATGGTTTGTGATGCATTAGGTTGCTGCAGGTTAATGTGAATGACTGTAAGTAACAGTGTATATGATTCATGGTAGCCAGACTACAGTCCCAAAGAAGGATTTAGCGTTTAGTTGTAGAATGTGTTGAACTTACATGTACGATGGGGTACCCAAAAGAAACCGAACTAATTTTTTTGTGGGCAGAGCTTTTTGTAGTATCGTGTTTTGCCGCTATGAGAGCATAGAGCTAACATTCCTGAGTCGATAAGCTGACTACCGTTGCTTCAGAAGGTAAGGACTAGTTTTGGCAGAGTTTATAGTGACAACTGTTTTGTGTGATCGTCGTTTTTGCAATGGCTGATTTTCGTGAACAGCGTGTGGCGGTGAAATTCTGCTTTTTGCTCGGGAAAAGTGGAACAGAAACTCTTGAAATGTTAAAAACGGCGTACAAGGATGATGCAATGGGGAAAACTCAAGTGTTTGAGTGGTTTTCCCGTTTCAAAAATGGTGAAATGTCAATTGATGACAAACCTCGTTCTGGTCATCCTTCCACGGCCCGAACACATGAAAATGTTGAAAAAATTCGTGAAATCATCAAGGAAGATCGACGACAGACCATTGAAGAAATTGTGACTTGGAGCTCAGTTCAGCGAATTTTGACAGAAGATTTGGGAATGAAAAGGGTGGCTGTGAAATTCGTGCCACGACTGCTGACTGCTGAACAAAAACAAGGTCGTGTGGAAGCATGCTGTGCTTTGAAAGAAGAGTCCCGAAATGATCAAAACTTTTTCTTGTTTCCTCGAATGAAAAGAGACATGAAAGGAAAGCGTTTTGCTGATGTTGCTGAGGTGAAGGAAAAAATGACGGAGGCGCTGTCAAGCATCTCAAAAGATGAATTTAGACAATGTTTTGAAAAATGGAATAAAAGACTAGACAAGTGTATTAGTGTAAGTGGAGAGTACTTTGAAGGGGATTGAAGGTTTGTGCTTAAAATTTGAATAAATAAGTTTAAAAAAAATAAGTTTGGTTTCTTTTGGGTACCCCCTCGTATGGCTTGCCAGAAAGAGGTTTATTTTACTCTTGATATTGTCACATGTATTAGTGAATAAAGACAGGGTTTGGATAGGTAGTTGGATTTATTAACCACATCCAGGTTGTAACTACAATTAATTATTACACCTTTGCTACTTTACACAATTTACAGTCACTCCACACTAATCTCTTCAGTCTATCTGCACTAGTCTTCACAGATTTATAACACGGAAGCTCTTAACAGTCTCAGTGAATTATACACCAAATATGACACATAAGTAAAGTTTTTTAATCACACATTAAGTCGTCACAGACTGACTTCTTGTACTCTTCTCTACCCCAGGAGCTTAGTGCTTGATTGCTTGTTCATGTGCTTCTGCCACTACTTCTCACTCGTAACTTGTAACTGCCCCCAAATAATTCTGTCACTTACATATATAGCCGTGGAATGGACATGGACCTACAGTAAACACATATCATGTGATCGCTATCCAGTCAGTCTGTTGGCGCGTCAGTTCTACAGAAAACAGCTTCTTTTATTGTCACTTGTTGGATCGTGTTTACAGAGCTGTTGCCTGGCAACCCATTGATCAGATCTGTTACAGTATTAATGCTGGAATACCGTGATCAATTATTATCATTGCATCCACAATCTTACTGAATACTTTATCATAACTCTCTCTCTGCCAAGCATGGATGTCATAAAACTAAGGATACCAGCAAACAGATTTCATTTCACTTGCTGTTGCAGACAGAGACAGTGGAAGCCGGCTACATGTTCAGTTGTCAGCATGGGCCATTGGAGTGCCAGGCAAACAAGATTCATGCTTGTGCCATCTCTAAGGTGACACAGCCTGATACACAGCTGAAATACACAACCTGCATGATCAGTGATAACATGAACCCAGAGAAGATTGGAGAAGAGGTTAGATCCTGCCAGTGATAGGTGCTCCAGAAATACATTTACGGCTATTTTAAAATGGGCATTTTGTAAGTAAAATTGTGTGATACGAGCCCTTCAGGAAGTGCTTATAAACTATAGAAAGAGGAATTTATGTTCTGTGTATTTTGAAATTGCCTTTAATAGAGAGAGAGAGAAAATAAACCTAGTTAGCATCATATGACATCCATTACTTGCACACAACACTGTATCAGATCTCATATTTACAGTATTGAGGGAGCATCCATCAACCCAATGTATAGAAGCAAGTTTTTTTCTTGTGATTGTAGTGTGCCCAGGAGCATGGTGTGAAATGGAAGTCAATAGCAGAATGTGCAGCAGGTAGTGAAGGAGATGAGCTGTTGAAACGTCATGGCGACACAACCAATGCGCTATATCCGAGAGTGAATTTCATCCCCACTGTCTTGCTGAACCAGGTACATTATATCTGGTTGTTTGTTTATGGTTTATTTAATAATGTTGTCAGTAGCTCACACTACAGAGCATCGAATGGTAGGTTGATTTGTGAATAATGAATTGGAAAGGATGTACGTAGGTGGTACCGAAAGTCATGAGCAACTTTTTTTTTTGCGTGCAACCTGGGAACAGCAGATGAAAGAGAGTACGATGGTAGGTGGAACCAGCTGTTGTGTTAACCTTGAGTGTCTTGTGACATCAATAGCTTGCATCACATGACCAGTATCACTCCTAACAAAATGGCCGACAACAGTATGTCATTTCGCCAGTGTGCTGTCATCGAATTTCTTGTGAAAGAGGAAATCCCTGCTGCAGAAATTCATCAGAGACTTCACCATGCTTATGGAAGTGTGTGCATGGGTGTGAGCAGTGTTCGAAGATGGGTGAAACATTTTAAAGATGGGAACACCAGCATCGAAGATGAGCCTTGGAGCAGTTGTCCTTGAACAGCCTCAACTGAACGCAACAATGAAAGAGTGGATGAGATCATTCAAGATGACAGGCATGTGACTGTGGACACAATAGCCCAAAAACTTGGAATAGGGCACAGTGCAGTACAGGAGATGATTGAAAGCTTGGGCTATAGGAAAGTTTGTGCTTTTGGGTCCCGCGGTTATTGACCGAAGACCACAAAGGTCAGCGAAAAGCCAATACCTCAGAACTGCTGCAGAGATATCGACATGAAGGCGATGATTTTTTGCTCTGTATTGTGACAGGTGACGAAAGCTGGTTTCACCATTTCAAGCCTGAAACAAAACAGCAGAGTATGGAATGGCACTATTTGCATTCTCCATCAAAAAAGAAGGCAAAGACAGTGCCATCAGCTGTGAAGGTGATGGGCACAGTCTTCTGGGATGCAGAGGGGTTTATTCTGGCCGAATTCCTGGAACCTAGGCAAACCATCAATGCTGCTCGTTATGTCCAGATGCTGCAAAGCTTCATCGTATATTGTGTGATAAACGTCCGGGACGAAACATCATCATCCTGCATGACAACACTCGCCCCCACGCCACTCACCTCATTGGAAGCAATTGCAAAGATGGGGTGGGAAGTTCTTCCACGCCCCTCCTATAGCCCTGATCTGGCACCCTCTGACTACCATCTTTTCGGATATTTGAAGGATCAGCTGTGTGGACAACGTTTTGAGACAAGGGAGGCAATTCAGAAAGCAGTGCATCAGGTCTTCGGATGGCTGGAATGGAATTTTACAGAAGGGGAATTTTCAAACTCCCAGACGCTGGGAGAAATGTGTACAAAGAAGTGGCAATTATGTGGAAACATAAAGAAAGGTCTGTAGATTGAGGTGGCGTATTTGGTTTGTCAATAATAAAGCATGTTACTTTACAAAAAATTGTTGCTCATGACTTTCAGTACGACCCTCGAAGAATGAAGCAGTCATGGCTAAATTTGTTTTACCCTCGATGAATTTGTGTGGAAAGGATTAAGAAAAACACACAACAATTGCAGTGAGAATGGCGAGTGTCTTGGAAGAGATTTGAACCCAGGCCCTCCAGAATACAAAATGGGCATGTTAACTGCTAGAAAGCAATTTTTGGTTTTCCAGATGTCAAGTGGTGAGTACTGTACACTTATACCAAACAACACTTTCTGTCATGAAGATTCAGATATATGTAGAGTTGAAATTTTAGTCAGTGAAAATAATAAATTAAAACGATCTTCAACAGACACAGTATAGAACTTTCATATGGCAAACTAAACGAGGAAAACGTGTGTTATGTTAGGTATATATTGGCGCAGGTGAGAAACAGGAAAAATGCCTGTAATGTTTTGGTTGTGAATCTGATAGAAATAGGCTCCTTGAAAGTCCGAGGTTTAGATGGCAGGATAATATTAATTTGAATCTTAAGAAAATTAGGTTTTGATGGCTCAGGTTAAAACCCATTGCTAGGTTACTGTTGTGGTAATGTACCTCCCTGTTTTGCATTGTCAGTTGAATTTATAAGCATCTGGCAACTGTGGTCCAGAACACCTGTACCCATAGAGCAGCTTATTAACATGGAACTATTTTGAAGTCAGTAATTGGATTTTCATTGCCATTAATGATTATTGCTGTATTCACTCAAACTTACATATAAATATATTGTAGAGGTGTCTCTGCTTCTGAGATACATTTTGTGATGACCTGACATCCATCAAAAGCAACTGCATGCATCTTGACATCTTAGCTGCCACTTAGCCCCTTCGTGCGGTCATTTAAATTCCGCTGCCGTGTCTCTCCGGCGGTAATATATTCAGCCGACCATTTAAATTTTGCTCAAAAATGATTTATTCATCATTGTTCTTAAATTATATGAGATAGGAACATGAAACTTTCACTAAAATGATCTTAAAAGGTGGTTATGAGGTCCCGGTATCTTGGCAATGGAAGCAGTTGGTTTAGAATTTGAGCAGTGTATGGTACGCCTTGAAGCACGAAACTTTCACTAAAATGATCTTAAAAGATGGTTTTATAACCTTGCCTTATAATATGAGTGCCCGGTATCTCGGCAATGGAAACAGGTGGTTTAGAATTTGAGCAGAGTATGGTACGCATTGAAGCATTCTTCTATACACAACGCTGTCTCACATTCACCACACCAATACTGCGTATCTCTCATTTGGCTCTTTTTTTTGTAAACCAAACATCTTCTGTGCGGTCTT